TGCTGAGACTTTGTGCTCATCAGTCATTTTACAATCTGTAGCAACTACTTTCTCTACAGGTTTATATGTATACCTTCATTTGTAAAGGGATGACACGAAGCAAAGTGCCAAGGGTTGGAGTCGAACCCATGGCGGCTGCAGCTGGGACTTTGTACACGGTGTGCCAGCTTTACCAGGTGAGATACCAGGGCACGCCAAGTCAATCTTTTTTTTAACACAATGTGATTCACAAATATGGTCAATAGGCCAGTATTTTACTTTATGATATTTAAAATGTAATACAATATTACACAACGTCATATATGATGAATGTGAATATTTATTTCCATATATATGCACATAATGTATTAGGAATGCATAGGACTGAATGCATTAAGCTAACAGCTCTGTGTCATTTACACTGTTTCTTTCCTGTAGTGTAAATGGCAGGTATGTGATTAAAAAGAGCCCATTTTCACCTTCATTTTAAAGTAAATACTGTTTTAAATGAGTCTTTAATAGGGCTGTTATTCTCGTCCTCCTTTCCATTTCTGTTCTCCGTACCTTTCTATCACGCCATGGTTGTTCTACAGACAAAAGGTTATTTATTATTTCAGCTGGAGCATTAAATGCCTCGCTGTTCATATCTGAGTTTGAGTAATGACCATCTAATGGCCTAGAAATTAAGATTTATTTTGCTCACTACAGGTCACTGGGGTCAAAATCCACTGAAAAATGTGTTTTCTCCCTCGGCTCTCCTCGTGCAGTCACTGCACGCCTGCACTGATCTCCTTTGCTGGTCAAGAATATGTGGAAACAATGTAAAGTAGGCAGCTTGTCCCTCCAGCTATGCGAATGTGAAGCAGGGTCACTGCAGCAGAGGACTGTGGTTTGTGGCCTTTAGCTTTGCCACCTGGCTTAACAACAGGAGAGGAGAGATAGCCGTCCTGCGTCAAGCTACTTGCACCAGATTAATGGACCAGCTAAAGCAGAAGTATTCACCTATGCACCACGGAGAGCCAAGTGTGTGCAGGTCTCTGTTCCTATAGGACTAAAAAAATGACATTGCTGCAGTCTCGGGTTTCATACTCCCTGTACTTCATGAATGATACGATAAAGATATGGATGCTGCATCAAAAAATGCAGTTCAGATCAGTGCCTTTATGGTGCAAAGTTATGAGATTACTAAAATATGGACATAAACAAGCTATTCTCAATATACACCAACAACAGCAATTATTCCATGTTAAAAACGACTTGCCTACTGAAGATCTCAGCATGCAATCCGCTCTGAAATACTGAGGCTTTTTACCTTCTAAAACATGTAAAGCAGAAGATAGATCTCAGAGTTCAATGCATACTTTGGACAGCTAAAGACAGCCCAACCCCTACCCAGTGACCTGACAAACAAACATGACACAGATAACACTTTCACACAGAAAGCCTGAGCCTCATGTTTGATAGTGAACATGCAATCTAGATCTATGAAAGGATCCACTTAGTATTTGTTTTAGATTCTGAGTAGCACAACGGTCATTACTGGTGACAAATGGATTGGTTATAAATAAAATGTCAAAAAACAACGAGTAATGCCCGTCACAGGTCACCAGAGCGCAGAGTGTATATATTTTAGAGTCTGTGGCATCCTCAATAATAAACTGCCATGTCTCTGATCAATTTAAATATTACGTTTTAGCGAGTCTGCAATGCATGACTGTACAGTGCTTCAGTGCAGGCCCATGCTAGAATCCCACTGCTGAGGCAGGCACGCTGTCATTGTGTCGTCTGCAAATCTGATAATGTGCCCGTCCTTGTATTGTCTCCTGCAGACATCTGTGCAGAGAGGACAAATACATCCCTAAGGGGAGACAGATACAATTATGACTGAGTGTACATGATGTCATCTGTACAACCCAATTAAGATTATTTTTTTTATTTTTTTTAAAGCTAAGATTTGAGGCTGGATTGGGTGAAGATAGTTGTGTGGCTTAATAGTTGGCAGTGATATAGATAGAAGGCCCCAATTCAGACCATGCAAAACATCTCAAGAACCACATTGCATGTTTCAGCAACTCTGTTTTATTCAAAGGGATGTAATTCCACCCCGAAACTTTATTGAATTTGGACATGAAAAAGAAATTAGAGATCAAATAGCCATGTCATGTTATCTTAATTCATATCACAACTGCAAAGATGTGCAGCAGGGGTTAACAGAAAAATAAAAAAATGTGTCCTTCCTCTGCTTTCTTCACTATCTGACTGCCTCCTTTGCATACTGCAATTATGTTGCACTTCCTATTACACACCAAAATCAAGCAAAGGAAACTGACAAAGCCAACGTGAACACTAGCTGTCAAGCGGTCAGTTATTTAACCTGCCATGTGACAATGGCGTGAGGCACAGAGGGTCAAATCCCAGTGTGGTCAGTCTTGAGCGATAGAGACAGATCCCTCTAACCGTTGGCTAATCCTGACAGAGAGACCCTGCCAAAACCATTAGGATAAACTGTGTCAGCCACCATAGTTGCTGGGCGCTTGAAAAGAACACCGGGAAAGGTGCTGCTATTGAAAAACACAGAAGAGAAGAGCAATAGAGCCACCCAGGCACGTGATCAAAAGACTTCTTGGTTATTATAAACACTGTGTTCTTGCTTTTCTGCAGAATAATCACAGGCTTTATTGTGGTTTTTATTGCTCTGTGACGCAACTGCAAAATGACATGGATGCAGTGTTTCTGAAGGCTGCCAAATCCTGCCAGGACATCACACTTTCACCCCTGACTAAATCTTTTTCAAACATAGTCATTTAGTCATTGTTCAGACTGTCCTGGTTGGCCTCTGTTCATTATTCATCCTCTCAAAGACCTCCTGATGAAATGTTTGCACACTGACTCAGCATGGGTTCATACCATGGCTCTAGAGTGTTGAAGGACCACAGACATAGTATTTTTTTTTTGGTTTTTTTACTGAATCTCCTTTTGCACAAGCCGCATTATCTTTTAAACAGACTACTTTCCAGCTCAGAATTTTTCAAGTGCTTAATTTCTTCTCACACATTCCTGGAAACTTTCAGAAAGAGCTGCGTTCAGACATCGATATGACACTGAAATCCATGCTGCTGTACATTCTCTCAGGTGGCAGGATGAGACAGGTTGTACCAGTTATTATTCAAAGGATCCTATTATCAAAACTACCAGCAACTATTTCCTACTGCGGAAAAAATCTATGTTGATTGGAAAGAAAACTAAAAATATTAACCACCACAACTGAATAAAATTGCAATTTGGGATTGTCTGTCTACACAAAATGAATTGGCAGCAGTTTTCATAAAAAAGATCGATAATTTCTGTCGTTTCTTACAACAAAAAACACTACCTAGTCTGAGCCTCTCCAATGTGAGGATTTGTGGTATTTGAAAAACTTCTATGATTGAATATGTTTTAGACTGACAGTTGGACAAAACACGTAATTTGAAAATGTCACTATGGGCTCAATGACAGTTTGACAGTCATTTTTGAGATTTATTTTCATTTCATGGACAAAACTCCTGAAAACAATCCTCACATTAATCAATGATAGAAATAGTTTTTAGTTTTAGCCCAAATAGAAATGACTAATGTTTAGTCTCGTCTTAGATGAACATTGCTGCTACTGATGCCAACCACAGTCTGTCTTTGTTTCCATAACCACAATGGCATCTGTCACTCCTACAAATTATAGCCTGCATAAAGCTGTAAAGACTGTGGGCCTAGTACGGCTCAAGCCGTCAATGACACCATAATTGTTTCCTCAATGTCAGATAGACAGGCAGACGGCTGTGCCATTCAATGTAGCCCACTGGTTCAAGTGGTGGCCTATTGATTGTCCATTGTGTGCAGAGCCTTTGCTGAAGCAGCATCCACTCGCAGTAAAAGCGCTGCTCAAATGAAATGATACCATCTTCACAGTCAAACCGGCTTTATCTGCAAAGCACAACTGCTAATATCGGAGGATATGCAAGCTTGTGGGTGTGTGTGTGTGTGTGTGTGTGTGTGTGTGTGTGGCTCAATCTTAATAACCAGAGCCCACAGCATTTGCATGTTCAAAGGCTTACACAACTGGTACTCCAAACTTCCCAGAGGAAGCCACAGTACTGGTATGGATTGGATGATACTGGGGTGATAATGTGCAGGGAAAGCACCCGGCTTCAAAAACAACTAACAACAAAGCATTATTTATTTATTATTTTTTCTTATTCTGTCTAACTGTGGGACGTGAAATGTCCCCATCACCCCATGAGCACAAATCATCCAATAAAAACTTGGCCACAAAGAAAGGAATGACAAAACATTATTAGGTCACTAATAAAGTCAAATAAAGCCCTAAGTACCAATAAAAGGGGGAAAAACGACAAAAGCACATCAATAACTGGACTAACTAAGAATCATTCATCTTAAAAGTGTGCCTCAGTCTACGAACAATGATCTAACAAATAAGTAAAACATGATAAGGAGCAACGTCTGCTTTGAAAGGCTACTTAAAGGCTATTGGCTAGGTTAGGATTAGCCACAGCTTGTCCCTCTCCGATACTCATCCTTTTACCCTTTAATGTTATTCTACGCTAAATGCAAAAGTCGGTTTTGCCCTAGACGACAAAAATGCAAAAATAAACACGTCTCAAATGTAAAAAAAAAACAAAAGGCACAAACTGGCTACTTGAGGTTAGATTCCCGACGAGGCTACAGCTCCTGTTATGTTAAGTAGCCTTGATTATCTCTGCTGATAGAGAGCTTAGCGGGATGTAGCCATACGTAACACTGGAACAGGCTGAATGGCAACAGTTGCAAAACACACACACACACACACACACACACACACACACACACACACACACACACACACACACACACACAGCTGCTCTGTTGCAGTTTAGGACGTTACAATGTTATAATGTAACAACTGAGTGTCAAACACACACACAAAACGCCACTTGTACAGACAGGTTACCAGCAGTAGTTACACATAGTAAATGATTTCTTCTGACCTGTTGCGTCCTTTCAGCCGGATTCATCATCACAGCCTGCCGAAAGCTGTTATCCACATAAGACGCCATTGTTTTGGAAGACGCCGTCTGGAGGATATTGAATTTCTTATCCTGATACAATGTTTACAGATATCCAGCGCCACGGATATAAACACAAGAAGTCCCCTTGCTGTCTTGCTTTATTCTTGTCGCCTGTGCTCCGATGCTAGCGGATAAGCTGGGAGTGCCCCGGAGCCAGGCCACAACTGGAGCCCGACAGCCGAGCAGTCTCCTCGGGGTGTCTGTCTCTCTGTTGTCCGAGCCGAAACCGGCTGCCAACAGCAGTCCCACCGAGAGGAAACTTCCTTTAAAAGCGCGGCTCAAACTGTCTCTTGGGAGTTATTTTCTTAATGTGAAAAATGTCCCTTTATTGAAGCCAGCGTTCATCAAAGCCATTCCTTGTCTCTTCAGCATTCTGCTAGCGACGGAAAGAAAACCCATGTAACGTTAGGAGCCACCAAACAAAAAAAGTAAGCTAACGGCTAACGGCTAACGGTTACCCCGTCAACAACAACCCGGCGTCCATTGTGAGAGGTAGACCCGAGGACACTCACTGAGAATATTCATTATATTAACATTTTTACTGGGTCTGAAAGTGAAGATAGGTCCGCCGCCGCTGTGCTCTGTTGTATGCCACCATGGTGACTGACACAGCAGAGTAAAGTCCGCAGGAGTTAGCGCTCGCACTCCTCCAAAGCTTTTCAAAATAAACCTCCAAAAGGAGCAACGTGTTTGACGTTAATACAAAGAGACAATGGAGGGAGCGGTGTTTTTAGGGAGGAGTCTGCAGTACATGAAATATACATGTTGTTTTGTTTCCCCCCAAAAAAATGTCATTTCCTCTGCACACTATTAATAAAGACCTATATGCAATATGTCAGGGGTCTTTTCAGTAGAAGTAGCCTACACAAAACGTTGGATATTTATATTAGACCAAGCACTATGACGTAACATAATCATTAAATATCTGTTTTTAGTTTATTCCTATATTTAATCCGCGGAGTGTTTCTTATTTATTGACTGTAGCGCTTAGATTGTATTATTGTCGCATACAATTATGCTTGCTTGGTATTATTAAAGGTACGATCTTATTTTGAAGGTTAAATCATTGCATTTCCTGTCTGACTGTTGCTGTGTTTGACTTGACGGAGCTGTAGTCACAAGGGGCGGCTCATGGGCGAGTCCATTGAACAAAAAAAAAAGAAAAAAGAAAGAAATTGGGAATAAGGAGGGGGGAGTGCAATGTGGCAGAGTGGTGCTTTGGGGCCACCTAGTGTCTGAAAATGGTAATATACATTTAGGTGGACACAAAGATGCACCATTTGATCAACGGTGTTACAAAAACTTATTTATCTTAGTTATCCAGCCCTATCAGCGGTGAGAGAGCTACTCAGGTTTTTACTGTAGTAAAGGTAGCAGTGCCTACATTTACTAAATAATGAAAATCCTGCATTAAAAATGTTATCTGAGTGAATGAACAAGTATTGCTATCAAAATGTAGCCTATTTAAAGTACCAAAAGTAAAATGACTCATTATGCAGAGAGGCCCATTTCAGTAATATATATATATAATAATATTACATTACTAATGTTGCAGCTGATAAAAGTGAAATTAATTTCAACTACTTTATACACTAAAGGGTAACTTAATCAATAATAAAAACAGTTGAACTGTATTTTTTATTAAAATCTGAATTTTAAAAAGTAACTAGTAGTTAATGTCAAACAAATGGATTGGAGTAGAAAAAAAAAAATGTTGACTTCCAAAATGTAGTTGAAATTGTACTTAAGTACCGTACTTGATTAAATTTACTTTGTTACACTTCACCGTTATCCTTAAACATTTGATCAGGATAGGAAGAAATAAAAATACAAAATATTCATGTCTGGTAGGAATAATATCAGATTATGGAGAATAACAGAGAATCGCAGAGTAAAATTAAATTCATTATTATGTGCCACAGACACACAAAGTTCCCAATAGGAACGCTACATTGTGACAGTCTGCTTTAAAGAGGCATTTCATTCATAAGCAAACTTCAGATTAAATAATTTGCTTTTCCTGCACGAGCTGACTCATACACTCAGTGTCTGCACAGGGAGTTCAAATGTAAGATAAATAAAAAAAGAAACAGGTTAAGTGAAGTCCAGTAATGCAACTCTATGAACTATATCCTGTATTTAGTATATGTATATAGGTATGAATAATCAGTACAATATACAAAATTATATCACAACATAAATGTTATGCTGTTGCGGTTGTTACTCTGAATATAACATGTTAAAAAAACACTCCAGTGTTACCCCTGCACCTTCATGTTAATTATTTCAGTAAGAGATCTGGGATGAATTTAGAATAGAGTAATTTGTAGTGGACATGCTTCAGCATAAGAAGCAGCCTTTGTTTTTACAACTTAACTAGGACGCAACCACTGACTCCATGACAACCAGTGGTTGCATGACAACCGACCATGACCCCATGGACAGAGCAGACCGCCAGGCTCTAGTTATCACCCAGGGGCACCCATTAAATTGGTGTATCTATCCTGCAACTAATCCAAACATCACACTGGAGGGAAAAAAATGATGCAAAAAGGAGGAGCAGTTGCCTCAGAGTCTGAGCATGGACACAGGATGGTTTTTACAGGTAGGAGAAGCATACAGACAATGTACATCTATTGTATCGACACCGTGTGCCATCCTAGGAGGTAGAATTTGTAGTAAAAAGTTTGAAATTTGAATTGAAGCAATGTCTCTATTGTTATCACTCCCAAAATAGCTAATTGGTGGGAAAGTATGTATTGTCAGACTGCTGTAACCCAGTTTCCTGTGAGATTATGCCACAGACCCCCAGAGCATTGTTTAACAATTATATAAGCATATGTTCTGTGTCCAAGCAAATATAACTGTAATTGGACACATGATGGCACTGTAACCAGGGCCAAAAGTAATACTGTATGTGTGCGTGTGTATGTGGGTCTGTATAATCGTGCTGTATGTGTCTTTGTGTGCATTAGGGCATGTCCACATAGGTGTTTGCTTTCACTGCAATAACGGATGTGTTAGACAACACACAGCGGGATGTGCAAACATATTGCTTTGTGTTATTGTCTATCACTCTGTATTCTATTAATTATATCACACAGTGTTTTCTAAGTATTAATAATTTATGTGTTCTTTATGTAACTGTTATTACTCTGAATAAACACTTAAATAAAAAAGGAAGATCAAAGAGAATGCATGTTCTGAAAAACACTGATCCTTTGCTCCAATTCCTCTTGAAAGATAATTAGTTGTAAGAAATCCCCTGAAGATAAATACTGAATGGATGCACCCTTTCATTTTTTGACTTTCTATAAACAATCTATTTCTCTTTTCTCTTCCATCTTGAATATCTCATTGTCGTTAGTTCTGTTGGATTCACCTCAGTAGCTGCTACTGCAACTGTACAGAGATTTCTTTAATGTATGCTGCACACTATTTCTCTCTTTTTTATTTAAAAGATTCAGGTTCTTCTGGTTGGGTTAAAAAAATATTTTCTGTCCACTGGTTCTAACAAGGCCCAGATGGAATTGGAGACTACAGACCGAGATCAAATTATTTCCCCCGGTACATCGGTGTGGGCACCTCATCACCTGAGGCCACGGGTGACCTCAGTTACTTGTGCCGAGCTGCACCACATGCCCCCCCTCCTATGCCCAGGCAGAGCTGCGTGGGGGAGGTAGGCTGGGGCTGGCAGTACAACCAGCTGTTGAACAGCGGGACGCTGCTCAGCAATATGCAAATTAAGGTATGGCTAAAATGCACTGTGTGCATCTTATGCAAATTAGTAAATAGAGGCAACATTCTTCAGTAATGTGGCACAACGTCACACTGAGCATGACTTTGAGAAACTGATGTAATATGATGCAATATGCAGGACCTTCATTTTAGTTTGGGTATTAGTTTTCTTGTTGTTGACTCGTGACATCATGAATATTAATTTTACCTGCTGTGGATTAGAAAAATGTTATGACAGTGTATCATGCTGTAAACATTTAAAACTACAGCATTTCAGGGATAAATTAAACTGAACTCAATTCTCCTTTTCTGACAGAAAACTGATATACGGACGGCATTGGAGGACAGAGTGACTCACAGGTTCCAGAGCAAACAGTAAGATAGCATTTGTAACCCTAACATTGGGCACGTTGAATGTATTTGGTTTCCACCGCCCAGAATTGTATTACGTGTGTGTGTGTGTGTGTGTGTGTGTATGAGTGCTGTGTTTGCACAGTGTCTGCTTTCCCCATTCATAATGCAACACTTCCACTTTTACACATGCCTCAAGCTGTTCATGAGAAATCAGCCAGACAGACATGGACACAGTCACACCACTGACATAAATACGGACCTAAACGAACTCTCTGGAAGGTTTACACTCTACCACATTAACAATCTAAAGTTACACAAAATCTAGACCCAACAGTGGTTTCCAACCTTTTTCCTGAAGAGTAAACTGCAGACCCCTAACTGAGTGACATATTTTATGTATATCTTATATTATATTCAATGTATAACAATAACTCTACAGAATAACTGATAAACGTTACAATGAACCCAACTAGTGAATACAAAAACTGCAGGAAGTTAAAAGAGTGATTTGGATGCATTTTGAGCAGATTATGTCCTGTGAATATTGCATCAGAGATGAGTTTTCCTAATATTTTTGGGGACATTTTTTTAACAATCATACATACTTAATAGGATTCTTTTTTGACAAATTCAGTGTTATCTTTCTCTGGTTCTTAGTTTTTTTTAATTGTGTACTTTTCTCATGCAGGATGAGGCTGTTTAGCAGACAATGAAGGCTCTGTGAATATAGCTTGTGTTCAGGTCTTCATTGTCCTCTGAGAAGTTCATGTCTTAAGCAGTCAAGCATGTCTACAGTCAACTTTAAAAATAACAATTTCATTTAGTTTTCTTCCCAGAAATGAATTAAAATACTGAAATACAACAATAGTGTATGTAAAAATAAAAGGTTTTATATATATATATTTAATTCAAGGTCCAGTGTGTAACATTTAGGCTCTATTGGCTGAAATAGAATATTCAGAGGTATATTTCCATTAATGTATAATCACCCCAAAAGAAGTATTGTTGTGTTTTCGTTCCCTCAGAATGAGCCACTTTCATCTACAGGAAAAGTCTTCTATAGAGTCTGCCATGTTGAACTGTCATGTTTCTACAATAGCCCAGAAAGGACAAATCAAACACTGGCTCTATATAGGACCTTTTGCATTTTTCTTGAGTTTGTGGCCACTATAGTTTCCCCCACAGACTTGGAACGTTGAGCTGTATTCAAATAGTTACAACTTCACTGCAAGAATCTTGATGTAATAGAATATGAATGAGAAGTTATGGCTCTGTTGAGCTTTGCCTGTTCACTGTGACTTATCTTTCACATTCATTCTACAGCTGATCCTGACAAGCTCAGTTTGAGATGTCCTAGAATGGCCACTGTATGTTATAAACGTAATGTATGTAACAACATGACCGTTCCTCTGGCACCACCAGTGGGAAGAATTTAGGGAGATAAAACTACATATGGGTAAAAAAAGTAAAAACATGTAAAAAAGAAACATAAGAAATGCTGATGCTTCCATGTAGGGCACTGGGCGTAAGGTATATGACATGCTATAGCCTTCACAGTCATTAGATCTCAACCCATATGAACACCAATGTGAGATTTTGGAGCAACGTGTTGGACTGCACTCCTCCGCCACTATCATCAAAACACCAAAAGAGAGACTATCTTTTGGAAGATCATCATTTCATCAAGGGTTGACAAATATTCAGTTCATGTGTTCAAATTCCCCAGCAGAACACAAACCATTTGAGATGTTTTTGATAAGCCACATAACCAAACCATTTTATTTCAGCTTTTTTTTTTTTTTTTTTGCCTAAGACAGTCACAAGATTTTTATTTTAAGATATTTATTATATCTAATGTCCCTGAGACTTAAACATTTTCCCGATCCTATATTCATTTTTTTTTTTATTCAAAGGGTCTTTATTGGCATGGGAAACAGACGAGTACATTGCCAAAGCAAGTGTAAAACACATGTATATACTGATTAGTAAGAAAACAATAATAAATCATATAAATAATAATAGGTGCTATCTATGGACATCTGGTGTCTGCCCTTTTAAGAATGTATGTTCTCTTGTGTTTATGTGAGAGGTTCTCACTGTATTCACTCTATTCCCTGGACAGATGTAGAGTATTGATTCACCCATTGTTATACGCTATTGTATTGTGTGTGTGCTGTCTGAATAGCAGTGGCTGAATCCAGGAAACCGGCTATTGAAGGCTTCTTCAGAAATGTGGGCCTAATAACAAACCATTTCACAAATGTGTCCCTTTGATAACCGTAATGACAAATTCACACTCACACATTACAGTTCCTTTGTTAGACCCTCCCACACATGGAACATCCTTTCACTGCATATAGACAGTTCCTTGTTCAATCTTAACTCCTGGATCAAACATTGCCGCAAGGGTCATCCTACCTTGACTCTGCATGCTTGTCTGTTTGTCCTGGCTGTAAGCCTGTCACAATATGTTTTGTGTCTCCTGTGTTGTGGGGATGTCAATGGTTAATGTGTTCCATTGATTCACTGCTGTCCTGTCAGCCAAGGCTTCTTTCTCTTACACTTGTTTGTGCGCTTTAACAGTTTGGTTTACTTTCTACTGTATTTGGTGGCTTTTAAATTGTTTTCTTGCTTTTGTCATGCATGTTGTTCAGGAGGGAACTGGCTGTTTGGCTAACACTGAGACAGTGACATAGATTAATGGGCAATGTCCCTGAAACAAAACAAAAAATCCATAAACTCACCGTCTACAGTGGTCACACAAGGCTGTTATACTCATTAGAGACCAGAAAACAAGATTACTGAATGAATGAAAAATAGGGAAAGATACACACAGGTGGCAAATTAAAGTGGAAAACACCATAAAATGTCCTAGTAGTTGAGCCTTCGCAAGACCACCAGAACAGCTTCAATGCATCTTAGTGCAGCTTCTCTTCTTAAACATCAATGTAGTTAATAAACTAAACTAATTATTTTTTAAAATAAGATTAGCAACATCAAGCGAATATTAGGAAGTAACCAGGCTCAGAGAAAGACAAGGTCAGATGTATAAGAAGAAAACAAGGACATTTACATTCAAGGTAAAATTTGGTCCCATGTGATATGCAAACACAGCTAGCAATACATTACAATGCACAGTGCAACACACAGCAAAGGAAGACTGATTCGAGGCAAACAGCCCCAGCTTAGGCTCCACTAATCCTCTTCTATGTTGCATCCCATCTTCAAAAGGAGCGACATGCATCAATGTTTTTAGATGAATGTGTTATGTGTATTATCAAAATCACAATGGGACCCAGCCTGCTTCACTACAGCAGTAGACCCTAAATGTATGCAGAGGCATACACAGCCGTTATACTGCCAACATCAAGCAAATGAAATCAGAACTTGAGAAGACAGTCAGAATAATTATATATAAGACTGGCATTCTGGGAAGTAGCAGCAGTCCACTTCTGGTATGTTGAAGCATCAAGGTCAAAGGTTTGGAACATACTCCCACCACAAATTAGACAAACAACGTGTGCTGATGGTTTTAAGAAACCACTCAAAATCATTTTCATGATCTTGCTTTTAATTATTTTTTATCTTTTTTTTTTTTAGCATTACCGACTACATAAATCCTGTATGACTTTTTAAGATTATTTTCATTATTATATTATTCTGTGTTGACACAGATCCATCAGCTGGGTCACAAGTTATACAGATTGCTCCTGTGAGCAACCTTCCCAAATCCCCAGGCTCTCAAGCCTCACAGCCATTACATTTACAGTTAAAAAGTATTCAGGGTAATACATTATTTGCCTATTTGATAATTGCATTGTCATACAGAAATCTGGGTTTTTGGAAAGTCAATCAACACAAACCAGCCACAAAGAAATGCAAAACAGTCACAAAGGAGAAGAACTACAAAGAGGAAAAAAAATCACAGAGATAAAAAACTTGCCACAAAGAGATGCAAAGCAAGCACAGAGACAGAAAATGACCACAGAGAGATAAAAAAAATGACTACAGAGAGATAAATAATTATCACAAGAGACACACACAAAAAAAAAAACAACATTTCAGTCTGGGTGTGTTGCTTCTCTGTTGGACATTTCTGTGTCCCGTGGCCCATTGTCTTATAATCTGTCCATGGCTATAGGCTATTTGGTGTAACGAGTGGCAGCTAATCATTGATATTATTTCAATATATTAAAATATCTAACTATGTTTATTTGGCATTCATGTATCACACTGAATAGACAGTGTAACTATCAATCATTTACAGTGTATTGTTGTTAAGTTACCGACTGAAATGCGGTCAAGAATCCCTGAAGCTGTACAGTCTTCATCAACATCTCTACACTGAAAACCATCTTACTCCCCCATAAACTCTTTTTCTTTGACCTTCCACTGAGGTTGAGGGTCACTGTGGTTACATTGACCCTTTTTTTAAATTAAATCCTAAAGTGAACATCCAACACAATAGTCCAGCACTATAATGGAAGACCTCTGCTAATAAGTATACATAGTTTTTACGAGAAGTTACATTTATCAGTCAGCCAGGGTCGAGTATTATACAGTAGTTGTTCTGTCTGTGAGACGTGAAGTCTGCAAATTCACTCATTTGTAACAGATTTTCCTGATTTTAGCAATGAAAACTAACATATGGGGTAAAGAGTTTCTTGGAGACAATAGTCCTTAAAGAACAAACTGAAACTCCTTAAGTCCTCTTAAACCAAATCAATAGGTTATTTCTATCTTTGGGATATGTTAATAATAATAATTGTAACCAATAAAGGACTTGTGTGAAAAGTGTGTCTTTAATATGTGAGAGAACAATAAACCGAATAAAAACAACACACCCTGTAGGTACACATGTAGACCAGGGATGTCAATTGATTCTTGTATGATTCATATCTTTTACCACCTCTAATGGCTGCCTATCTGTTACCTCCCAGAAAGAACATGACAGATGACTCACCCCAAGTCAGCACCAAGTTTCACAGAGACAGTCAGCGCTAACAGCAGATGGCATTCCACTACCCACGGCGGCTGCAGGAACCTGACTGTTAATGAGAAGTGCCCCATTTGATTAAACATCTTCTAATCCCCACAACATGTTGACTTTTCAGCACTTTCATTTCATTACATAAGCTCCAGCCTGACTGATTCAGAGAGAATTTGACACATTTCTCATTATCGAGTTTAGACGTTGTGTTTTCTTGCACAATTCTACTTGTGAAAGTTCATGGCAAGTTTATGATTCAGTTCTCTCTGTTATAATTATTGGAATTTACACTGGAATTCTGAACTAGAGCACACCTGAAAGTATGAAAACTGGGCCAACAAAAGGGCTAAATTGTTGCTTTATCAAAGTTGCTCGAAGCAATATGACCAGTCAGATATGGCATTGATTCCTCAAACTGAAGATTGTCTCGAAAAAAACCCACAACAAGTTGTTATTGTTTATCAGAGGTCCGTCTCCCCTCTCGCAAAGACACAGATATAGACTTTTAGTTCCTGTATGAAAAGTGCCTGGTAATCTATCCCAGCAGCAACAGCAATCATATCCACTTATGGCTGGTGTAGATAACTGTACAGATTGTTTACCACAAGAGAAACCACCAATTTTTATATAATGAGCCGCACAAACATCCATTTCTCGAGGTCAGCTGCAATTTGCTGGTAATACCATCACTACAATAGGGTGCCCTCAATCTGACACCCACCTGAAGGCATTTTGTGGTTGATCATTGCTGAGACAGAACACTATATGTATTTACAAGACACTCTGAGTGGCAGGCAAAGCCAAAAGCTTCATAAAACCAGCATGGGATCCTAAGGGGTTGCTATCAGTTCAGGCACCCTGTTAGGATTCATTTATTCAGTATTCCTCCATAGGTATTATTCAGTGATTTCCAACATTTTTGTCTTATGGCCCATAAAACAAAGTACCGTCCACTTGTGTCACCTATGTCTGTGTATTAAGACTATGGTCAGCTGAAGAGTTGTTTTTTCCTCCTGCTTTATCTGAGTGCTGAAGAGGTAGAATTAGCCAGCATTTACAAGTTAAAAAGCAAAGATTAGAAGAACATAAAAATATCTTTTTGTGCAACATTAATATTCTTATCTGCTTTACTATTATGTCCATCATCTCACAACCAGTCAGAACTGTCCCCAGTTGTGTAAATGTGTACCGTTGACCTACACAAGTACAAGACATGAGTCATTTTTAGATCAGCTTGTATAGAGTAGAAACTAATAAAGGTTACCAATCATTATCGCACAATTAGTTTTTCATAGCTTTTTAATCAATATGATTAAGCGCTCTAGTTTTACATTGCTGTATCAGCCAATGGTTTTTGTCTGCTTATTTAATCCTTCTTATTTGAATTTCCAGAAAATATACTGTTTAGTGATTCCAACATACAGAATTGTAACCATTTTCCCCACTGCTACTTCCAGTAGTGTCTATGAATCCACCATGAGGACAAATGATCACTTTTGTGAATTTTACTTTGGTAAAGGTTTTTCGGAGGCGCACAATCTCATGAGTAAAATTCTGTAAACGAATATATGCTGTGAAAAAAATACATTTTGTGAGGAAAGGATGTATTCTATATATTATTGTCTTTTAGGATTTGGAAGTCAAATACATACATCGGTTATTAATGTCGTTACCAATACATCCTCAACAATGACTCAACAGCATTGTTTTATTTTGAAATTTCTTGATCGGAAGTTATTGAGTTCATTCTTCTTCGTTTAATCTGCTCCAGTACGCCGGCCGGGTTTAGCAAGGTTAGCTAGAACAAGTGTCTTAAATCGCCTTGTCCTTAAAAATGTCTCACCCAACACCGTCTGACAAGCCTACAAACCCCGAAAACCCTCGTGTCTTCTTCGACGTAGACATTGGTGGCGAAAGAGGTCAGCACATTTTGATTTTAATGTCAACTAACAGCTTTTTAAGACCCAGTCTAACCGTTAGCCGCGTTAGCTTAGCTTGGCTCATTCCAGTGACTTCTAGAAACGGATTCATTTAGTAGCTGCCAGAACAAATTACACCGAACAAATAAAGCAAGTGTGTACACACCGACTCTAGCAGCTAGCCAGTGTTTAATGTGAGCTATCTTACAGTCAGATAAATGTTTATTTAGAGAGCCGGTCTCTCGTCTTGTGGGTGCTTAAACCACGTGTGCTTGTTGTCCAGTAAGACCAGTGTAATGTAGCACTCCTCAACCTTCACTTCGCTGTCAGAGATACCATTGTGATCATAGTCATAGCCGTCGCTCACTGTTAAGAACAAGTGTAGGTCTCTTAGTATTAGCTCAGGTAGTTTATTGGATCATTTAACTGGTTGCAGCAGCAACACATGACAACACAAAGAGGACCAACCCATACACTGTACCCTGACAAGGCCTCGGGTAGATATAGCTGTGTCCTGTATGTGTAATGCTCCTGGATACCTTCATTCTGCTGCTAGACTTTAGTTTCAACAACAAGGATTTGTTTTCTGTGTTGAAAGTACATAGTAACTATGTCCAGATTATTCTCATGTAGACTATACTGTAGGTATCTTAGTAAATTCTAATCTGTGACTATATATTAATGTTATACTGAGCCAAATTGTTTTCTATCCACAGCTGGCCGGATAGTTTTGGAGCTGTTTGCCGATATCACCCCCAAGACGGCTGAAAACTTCCGGGCACTCTGCACTGGAGAGAAAGGCATTGGCAAATCGACTGAGAAACCGCTGCACTTCAAAGGATGCCCGTTCCACAGAAGTAAATAGCCTTCACATCTGCATATAATGTGACATTTCAGTTTGGAAGGGAACCTTGAAGTTTTAGCACCACCACACACACACACACACACACACACACACACACACACACGTGTAGAAGTAGCTGAAGGGACATCCAGTGCTGCCAGACATCTGGAGAATGTGTAGTTACTTGGATGCTCAACTCCTTTTTAAAATATACCAATTTTTTTAAGATGTCAATGCACCAAAACCTCTGACTACGTAGAATGTTGATCTGGTTCTTTAGTTATAGGTCAGGATTTTCCCGTGAATGAACTTGCTTTAAGTTGGGAACCCAAAGGGTGGATAAAAAGGAGGACTGTGCTGCACCTGAACACATGCATGATGAAGGGGTTGTTAACTGCACCAGGGTTAACAGTTAAAATGGACCAAACAAACACCTAATGATGAACAATGGGCCGTTAAACAGACAGTTGTTGACTATTGTAAAATGCAAAGGCATTTTTTTCCTGCACAGACATGAGACAGTATAGTATTAAAAATAATAATAAACAACTTGAGCTCAATAGGCTAATTCAGGCAATGGTTATTTAACTTTTTAAATTAGGAAGTCTGAAGTACTACTGACATTCAGTCTAATTTGATTATTTGTTTTTGGCAGTCATCAAGAAGTTCATGATCCAAGGAGGTGACTTCTCCAACCATAATGGCACCGGGGGTGAGAGCATCTACGGGGAGAAGTTTGAGGATGAAAACTTCCACTACATGGTAAACTAACACAAGAATCCCCATTATCTGGGTCGACCTCTGAAATATATTTAAGAGGTTTCTTCATCCATCATGTTATCCATCAGTGTTTGTAGTCACTATTTTTTAGCTTTATCCATAACAAGTCACAAATGTCCAAAGTTTGTCATCGTTATTGACTTAAATTTAATTACGGTCCCATATCGAGATCTCCATTCTACTCTCCAAGCACTCTCAATCTCCAATGTTTGTTTAAATAGACGGAAAGGCTTTCTTTGTTTTGAATAACATTGATCAAATTTGTCCCTACATGTGTATTTTTTTCCTGCCATCTTTTGTCTGTTGCAATAATGTATCTCCTTCTCCATGCAGCATGACAAAGTGGGTCTGCTGAGCATGGCCAACGCCGGGCCGAACACCAATGGCTCACAGTTCTTCATCACTACTGTCCCCACGCCTCACTTGGATGGCAAGCACGTAGTCTTCGGACAGTTGGTGAAAGGGATGGGAGTGGTAAAAATGCTGGAGACCATTGACACTAAGGATGATGTCCCCGTAAAGGTAAATGTTTTTAATTAAAACATGTACTTATTTATAGTTAACCACATCTTTTACATAGGGTTATTCACTTGCTCTTTTACTTCACTTTATGATTCTTTTTCTTTTCATTTTTTATTTAATTTTCTTTTCTTTTCTTCTTTCTCTTTTTGTGGCAACATGGGTATGAAGAGTTCTTTTTCTTGGTTTTTCTGTCATGGTCATCTTGACCTGCATTTGATGTTCAGACTTTGCCATAGCTGCAGAAAACTCATTAAGAAGATTTAGAATGCTAAGTTTACAGAGGTGGCACCTAGTATAAAATTAACAATGTGGCCTTAAAAATAAATTGATATTTTCTTTCATGTAAAGACCAAAAACAGCTTTGTACAGTAAATTCAAAACCTGCAGTCATGTGGGTACAGGTTGAGTAATGACTATGTTTTAGATAAAGTGAAATAGAAGTTTATTTATACGTATAAAGACAATACTCCCCCTAGAAATGATATACCTGTTAAGATGAAGGGGCCTTCCAATTGTATATGAAATAAATAAATGTTGCCCAGTTCCTATTTTCATTGGATAACTGATACGTATATGATTTATGATTTGTAATAAGTTCCTAATCCCTCCCAATGATGCATTGTTTATTGCCACTGTGTTAAACCCACCATAATCTGATCTGTGTATGAGCTTTAAGTGAAATCTTACTGTCTTAAAATGTCCTGCTCTCTACCTTTGCAGCCATGCATCATAGCCGACTGTGGTGAGCATAAGGACGGAGACATCTGGGGCACTGCACCAAACGATGGATCAGGGGACGCCCACCCAGACTTCCCCGAGGACTCCGACATTGACTTTAAAGATGTAAGTATCGGTGAGCTCTTTGATCTTCAAGGACACGGGTGAACTTTGGCAGATAGCATCAGACCGCTCTGCGGGCCTCTGCTGAAGGACCACTCTGGCTTTGTGGGAAATGTGCCCGTTTGTCGTCGTATCCAAAGTCAGATGAGAAGATTAATATCAAGATCCAGGACGTGTTTAGCATAGCAAACACTGGAAGCAGGGTAAAACTGCTACTAAACCAGTTCAAGGGCTTGTCCCCAAAAGGAGGGATGATGAATTATTACCATTATTTTGAGTGTGCTCACTTTGAGTTTTACCTCCAAATATAGTGGTTTAGATAGTCTGGCTAAAGTATCTGTTTACAGCCCGTTTGAACGATTAAGTTGGACTTCATTGTTTTATACATGTATTGTATATGTTTTGTTTTAGCAATTTCTCTGTGTAGCTGGTACTTTGAGCACAGTGTTATAATAGAAAATAAAAGTTGTACAAAAATATTACTTTTATTTTTTTTCCTTGCCAGCAGTTTAATCTCCAGTGACATTTCCACCTGTGTTTGCTTTCAGGTCGACAAAGTTCTGTCTGTTGCTGACGACGTGAAGAATATTGGAAACAGTCTTTTTAAGAATCAAGACTGGAACTCTGCAGTCAACAAATACAGCAAAGCTCTCAGGTAACGTGTTACTCTTAGTCACAATGGCCTTTAATACTAGTGAGAACTGCACGTTGAAAGCAACCATCCAAATAAAATAAATGATCTTGGGTGATATACATACATTTAATACACATCCACACCTGGCTAAAATGAGCTTATCATAATTCTATACTTTTCTTGTGGTTAAAAATCCTTTTTAAACGCCTCTGTTCATCTCCCAGTGCATACTGTCTGCCCCAGCCTGTATATGGAAATCTGCCCCAAGCCCTTGACAGGGATTTCCAAAAACAGGTGGAGACTGTTGGGGACTATTTTCAGTTGCGCATTTAACGTGTCAGTGTACATATATATATATATAAACCACCGTGCCCATGTTCATGGTAATGAAGGATCATGTCACCCTGGGCAATGGTGTCGCTCATTTATGTGTTTTTTTGTTTAGTTTTTTGCTTTAGATAACAATGGATAAGAACAATAAGATCTTAACAGGCTTTGGCAGTGCCTGTTAGTAGGTTGAATGCAGTGTTAAATAAATGTAGAAAATCACTAGCCATTATCTTTTAAAACAGAAATAGCTCACCACACATACGCAGAAAGCGCTCTGTGACAGATGACAGTGAAGAGACAATGTTTATGAAAAGGAAATGATGACGGGCTGCTGGTTATACAACCAGTGAGTGTTGCAGATGACCTTCACATTGCACTCAGAGACACAGTTCTGTTAACTACCGTTTCAAACCCTGTGACGCAGCAGCTGCGGATAAATGGGGTTACAGTATATAGTCTCAGTAGCATCCTTCCACAGCTCCCACAGCTTTGTCACCTGTGATTCCGTTCACGCTTGATAATGCACGATAGCCACAGTTTTACAGTGACATCAATCATTGCTCATCGGGATCCCATTCTGTAACCAACAATGAGCCATTCACTCGCACAGGTACTTGGAGGCGAGTGGAGATCAGCTGGAGGAGGAGGCGCAGCAGAAGCTGGAGCCCACAGCCCTCAGCTGCTTCCTCAACACAGCGGCATGTAAGCTGAAGATGCAGCTGTGGCAGGACGCTCTGGACAGCTGCAATGAGGTACATTTGGCAGTGCTCTTGTCTTTGTGGCACTCCTGTGTGACGCAGAACGGTCGAGGTTTATAGCTCATTTAGCCATGCTAAGAATTTAAATCTCCTGCTGCAAACATTTTTACAGTTAAATTTCGGGAAATATGCCTTATGCTTTATTGCTGAGAAGTAACACTGTCATGTTTGTAACTCATGAGATGTAACAAGTTAATCTGTACAAAAAACTAATTGTGGGAACTACAAGTTGTGGTTTCCTACTTCTTGGCCAGAGAGCAGTGACTTCCTGGAATCTTGTCGTAAAAACAAATAAATAAATGTTCCTAAATGGCACACTCTTGGTTTACTGGTGGTATACAGTATACTGGATCTTACATTCAGTATCTCTAAAGCGGACATGGTTTTATTTCTGGCAGGATAAAGTAAACTTCCCAGACATAGTGCAAATGCACTTAAATACATTATTGGTTGGACCCATCCTACACAATGAGTGTTAGCGGGGGATACAATGGGCTCCCAAAAATAATGAAGTCACAACAGAATGCTGACAGTTTTAATAGAAGTGAAGTTGTTTCCTGATGTGTTTCTGTTGTGTCTTACAGGCTCTAGAGCTGAGCCAAACAAACACGAAGGCACTTTTCCGAAGGGCCCAGGCCTGGCAGGGGTTAAAGGAATACAGCAAAGCCATGGTAACGTCTACACCAGCACCTCTGTCTTTACAGTGGCTGTTGAAAAGCCTTTTGTATGAGTTAAAAATGTATATATTTATTATTCTGCATATAGACGTTGTATTGTAGTGAAGCATTTGGCAGATGGGAGTAACCGTGCTCCTAATTTACACAAGATAAAATCCAGGTGTATTGGCGTTGGATACGTTCAGTATTTGGAGCAGTAAGATGTCAGTTTGGCTCACCACATTGTTTTCTGCACTTGTCCTCTTTCAGATTGATCTGAAGAAAGCTCAGGAAATAGCTCCAGAAGACAAAGGTGGGCGATTTGTCTTTTGTCTGTGTGCTCAGCCTTTCAAGATAGGCAGCAGATATTTTCCTCCTCTTCCCACATTTGCATATTGAGTTTATATATTTCTACATTTCATCCCCATTCACATGCATTATTCAAACTTTGCTTGCGAGCTCATGAAGAAAAAACAGTCCAGGACTGTTCGGACAGGCCTGCCCCCACTGCTAAAAAAAAATCCTAGAGGAAACACTGCAGTTGCAGGACATTGGTTGGTTTGATGACTCTTCCCTTCTCTTGGTTACTTGGTTTTCATGCAGAGAGCCAAGTGTAGTCACAATTCATATTCTGCTAGGCTGGTATTTAATGGCAGGTTGTTGGAACATGAGGTCACAAACAACAGCTTATTTTCTCTCATTTTCAGTGGAGGTGGAATATTTTCAAGTAAACGTTCTGCAGTCATTTGATTGACTGAGTTCTCTATGAGCAGCATGCAACCAACACATCACCACCCAAGACCTCCCAGTATGCAAACTGGTCAATAATTAAATTCCTAAGAATATAGGACAGAAATGGCCACATTAACTTCCCGAACTATTCTGTAGCCAACAAAAGCAGTTTACAACAGACGACTGTGCTATACTGTTAAAAGTCCCTGAGCTACCAGTAGATGGAATCTGATGCTGAATGACTTTAAAGGATAATGAAGTTTCTGTCCCAATTTTTTAAAGAACCGACACTTTTATCTTGCTACTGTAAGTGTGACTAAAGGAGAATTATTCACAGCCACACGCTATCTAGTGCATTCAAGCATTTGAGAACACACGTGTCTCAAAAATAGCTAGTTCATTACTATGATTCTTACTGATCAGAGTATACTGACACATGCTTTTTAAAGAAGTGTTAGCCATTAGCAGATATGAACCCTCATTAAACAATGCTGAACTGAAGTTATTTACATGATGTGCATTTTGTCATTACACCTCCATTGGATGTTTAGGGGAACAATTTAAAAGTAATACACCCCCCAGTACGTAAAGGTTTTGGGTGGGATCTGGAGCCCTTCTCTTTTTGACAGTTTCACTGCTCTTTTGATATTTTAAGCAGCAGTTCATTGGCTGCTGGCTAGGAGATAAGAGCGATCAGTGCACTTCATGCTCTCCTTATGCTTTCAGGAGCAGGCTGTCTCTTACAGTCAAAGTAAATGAAGAACGTGGAAAAGTGGGCATCAAAAACAATGTTTAAAATCTCAGCATTCAAAGTGAAACCATATCCAGGACAAACAGTAGACGCGACTGCATTTGATTCACGAGTTGAGCTAATTCAAAGTGTTTTCTTTTTGACAGCTATCAGCAATGAGATGAAGAGAGTCCAGCTTAAAGTCCAGGAGGAGAAGGAGAAAGAAAAGAAAATCTATGCCAAAATGTTTGCCTGAACATTTCACCTCATAATGCAATGAATTCTTGTTAACAATTATCAATGTTTGAAGTCGTGTACACGGGAAGCTGCACACTGAGATAAAGAGTCTGTAACCAGGTGAAAGTGTACAGTATTTTCAGTTGGCAGGTCCTTTCCTGTTTTCCAGCTGGCACATTTCAGTCTGTATTGTCACACGGGAATATCTGTTGTAAGCTTTGACCTGTCTTAGTTCTGACAAGTGTCTTCACTGTAATGATTAGTTGCATGGCTGACCCCACTGCTCTGAAAAACTGGGTTAACGCTGGTCTTTGTTCTGGAGTTTTGAGGTAGTTCAGCAAAGTTGTGTATGTAGTATTGTTTCATGGTAGGGATTTTGATACAGTGCCCTTGGACACATACAGTACATCTTTTTGTTTTTATTTATGTTTTTTTACAGAGGTCAATAAAAGGGATAACAGTCAAGTGTTCTTTATTGATTACTGTGATATCATGTAATGTTATGTACAATACTGTGCAGATCAAATGCTGTCAAAATATACCTGCAATAATGCTGAAATAAATCTTAATTTGAGAACAACTTGTTTGCTTGTTCAGCTGCAAAAGATTTTGAAAGAAATATATTAACTATTACAGTTGGTAAAGTAATTTCCAAAGCAAAAGAGTCACCATTTTTAAATGGCCATATCGGTGATTTTATGGCAGTGATACACTACAAAACTGCTCACTGCAGACTGCTTAATATGGTCCTGCATTTTGCATGGGTTTCATAACCCCACACACATTATGAACTGAATACACTATGAATTAAGAATTTCTAGGACAAAATGTTCTAATATCCTTGCTGTTTTGTGGATTATTATTATATAATACCTTCAAAAACAGATGTGTAGTTATTTTCAGATCCATACTGGAGCACATTGCCACTGGCTGGCAGTACTGTAACCCTGGATGTATCGTTCTTAATAGTTATCGTTCAAAACAGTAAAAAAACAAACAAAAAAAAAAGCTGTTCACATTCCATTGTAGGCTGGTCCACCGCCGCCTTCAGGCACAACCCAGTTGATGTTTTGGCTCGGGTCCTTGATATCACAGGTCTTACAGTGGACACAGTTTTGAGCGTTTATCTGCAGTCTCATCCCATCTCCAGTTTCCAGGGGAACATACTCGTACACACCTGGGAGGGGTTGGTGGAAAGAAAACGTTAGCTTTTCTGATCAGGATTTATATTTATTAAAAGATGCAGCAATATACCATCATGGAGCCCTATGAAACCTTACTGACAAACTCTGGCACCAATAGCTTAGGGTCATCAGTGAGTTAATACATTTCTGTGAATGTCATTATGTTATGCCATGAATAAGTAGTTTGTACTTGGCACCCGCTGAAGGAGTATGTTTTCTAATGTTTTTTTGCTCTGTATTGCCTTTTGCATAATTGCTTGTATTGTTATACAATGTATATCATCAGCAACATGTGATAGCGCTGTGAGATACCCTACAATTTCCAAACCTATTTAGCTCTGTGGTAAAACGATGAATCTTTAGAGAGCTAGAGGCTCATATAATCAACTACATCTCATCTACTTTATTGAACAAAGGATTATAAAATATGCTTTCTTTCTGTAAAACTGGACTGATTCTATTTAGCATAACTTGCCATTTCTGTGACAAATGTTACCAAGGAGACAAACAGCAATAAAACCTGATAGAAAACATGGTTGGAAACTCTTCAGCAGCAGTACAACGTGGACACTGATCAGTATTAACAATTGCCTCAGTGCATTTAGTTTTAAGCTGAATGCTGACCTCACTGTTCCTGCCCACTGGATTTGATTTTGCTTAGAAGTTTTTAAAAAATAAGACATCAACTAGTATAAGCCAAGCATTAGTAACTGCATTTCAGTTTCCACTTGTATCAGGTTCTACAAGATCTTGTGAATATTATTCATGGTTCATGGTTGTACAAGTGTTATTGTGTGAAATGCTACAGCAATCTGTTGGTGACGTACTATATACGACTATAAATGACCGGTTAATGAGGTCGGGTTTGAAAAACATGAACCTAAGCTTTAGATTCTAAAGGGTAAGCTACATCCTTCAAAGTTTAGAAGACATGACAATTGCGGCTGTTTTGCTTTCTTGGAAAAAAACTTTGTTCATTATTCATGCCAGCCATAACTAATTATAAAAAACTATTAACCTTGCCAACCCCAAGCTGCAGCGTGCACAGATTTTCTACAGTCCTGTTTAATCCAATCTCCCCAACTCTTTGTCATGGCGCACCTCTGTGGGCCACAAAGAGAACAACTGTCCCGCTGAATTTGGCTTCTCTGTGTTCACGTTAGCATAGCCACTGACCGCAGATCATTAAGTTTCAAAGCTTCCAGAGAATTCAAACGCAGTCACCGTCTATCGAGTTTAGCTTTTCAGTCTCAGCTGCTGCACCGGAAAGGAGATACACACACAACCAATAAGCTGAACAGATGACAAAAACAAACCCAAAACATTTCTTGTGGGCTTGTTTTTTTAATGTTGTTTAAGGTTGTTTAAGGTTGTGGTAGTACGTCAAGGTTTCAGGTGTCAAGTGTCTGTTTTAAGACGTCAGCAGCTGTTCCAGTTGATTAACTTCAGAATACAGGAGAGATATTGCAATGTTTTCTGTTCCTGACTAATCGAATCTGTCAAAATGGAATGTAATACTTCTCCAGTTGCACTGTGCTCAAATTCAGGCTGTCATTCATGGAAGAGTCTACAGGACCCTGGAGCAGTTTTTTCATCAAAGTCCAGCATGTTCCCACCAGGGTGTTTATGTTTACTCCTCGTTTACCACAGAGAGTGTCTGAAACTCTGGTCTCAGCTTTTTAAAATCCTCTCCAACTCAAACGGTGGCAACTTTGCTTGGAGTGAGAATGCAACCTGTTTGTGAAGAGGTGTTAATTATCAAGTTTTTCTTCAGTTGTTCTCAACTGCAGTGCTGAAATAACTCATCAATCATTAGTGGGTCAACTGATTATGGATTAATAATTTAAGTCACTGATTAAGTGAAAATACCAAACTCTGGGTGGCTCAAATTGAGGGATTTGCTACTTTTCTCCATTTTGTTTCCTCAAACTGAATAAAATTAGCAATATGGAGATTTGGCCTTGAGCTCTGAGAAATTGTGGTAAGTATTTAGATCAAATGATTTATTGGAGAAATAATTGACAGCCCTACCTAACTGCTATGAACACCACAATGTGAGTTTTAATGAGCACAGACAGAAGAATCTATTCCATGAGACAGTGTGTAGGAGTGGGATGTGTAGATCAAAAAGGTGCAGATAAATTCCTGCACACTGCCCAACTTGCAATATAACATTGATTTGTGACATTTCTGTACTAGACCTTTATCAGGCAATGATAAAACTAAATGTTATATTGTATATTTAAATGAGCACAGACAATAATATGACATGTATTTTAAATTACAGGCACTAGGTTAGATTTAGGATTGCAACTAATGAATCTGCCTATCATTTCCTCAATTTTCAGTCTATGAGATATCAAAAAATAATAAAAAATGCCTTGTGCTTCCCGCAAGTTGACATACTCAAATAGCTTCTTTTGTCAGCCTAAAAACCAAAGGACAGTCAATCACACTTGAGATACTGGAACCAGTGAAAAATCAATGAATGAAAAATGACAAAGGGTAATTAACAGAAAAATATTTCAGCTCTAATTAGATTTAGTTTCTCTACTAAATATGAGAAAGCATGTGACCTATTTTTTTATTTTGTTTCTGTGTGAGGCTCTATGTTATAAAACATAGAATTTCTCATTATAGTATGTGGAAAAGATTAACTGTTATCTGCACCCTGATGGATTGTTTGGGATGCTCCTCGGAGGGTTGACAGTATTACCTGCAGGGCAGAAGCGTTGCTCGGGCCCATCGTATATGGCCAGGTTCCTGTTGACGGGGACACCGTCATCCTTTAGGGTCAGGTGGGGGGGCTGGTCCCCCTCGTGGTTGGTGCCACTCAGGGCCACAGAGGAGAGCAGGTCAAAGCTTATCTTGCCGTCAGGCTTGGGATATTCAATCGGTGTACAATCTTTAGCCGGTTTCAGCTGGTTCGCATCAAGGCCTGAGACAGATCAGGCATGGCCGGTTATGAAATGTTGATTTTCTCTGCTGAGATAAGATGACCTCGTACCTCACCTAAACAGAAACCACTGCCATTGTGCTGTGCTGCACAGCTAACCACCAATATGAACTATACTGCTCCACTTCTTTATTTACATTCTTTATACATTCAGGCCTGAGGTCACGGACACTATATTGATTTATACTAATGCTGTATGCTTTTTCTATAAGGTTTACAACCACATAGCTTTTTTCTTAGAATGAACAGTGTAAACATGTTAAATCAGATTATTTGCAATGACATTGTAGAAAACAGAAAATTACACATTTCAGGATAAAAAAACCCTTCCATCTTCTCCTCCTCTTTCCATTTCACTGGCACTTATTTCTCCTAATTGCATTAACTATAAAACTATACTATAAACATGAACTTTTTAGTTCAACATGTGCTTATTGTTTTTGTCATCATTGATCAACCTTTTACTGTAAAACTCAGCAGTTTATTGCTATAGAGAGATCAGCTAAATGCATAACAAATGTTTGAGTTAACACTGAGCTGTACAATGATTCTGCTCCTTGATACTCACCACAGTGTTTGAGGGTCCATGGTTCTTTTCCTCTAAAGATCCAGTAGAAAATCCCAGTGTAGATCATGCCACCATACAGGCCAAAGTAATTGTGGAAAGACGGCCTGATATTTCTTACTGCATACATCTCTTTCCACACCCACGAATTCTTCAAGTTCTCAGCGTACTCAGGTGTATGGAGTCCTGAGAGGATTATAAAAAATGAAATAAATTAATTGAAAGATTCTAATTTCGTTTTTGCTCTGCTGTTTTCAAACTTTTCTACACATTTGTACCACAAAACCGTGATTCATTCTGTACTTGCTAAACAAAGTTTTATAAAAGAATGACTAGATTTCAGCACATTTCCAGGAATATGGAGGTTAACATTTTCCATTGGAAGAAATAATCCCAATAAAAACTTTGAAATCAAAGTCAAGTCTGTGGGCTTTCTGTATTAACTAAGACTCAGTTGGTAAAACACTTAGACTTGTTAGGTTTTCAACTGTAATTTTTCAATTTGAGCAACACAAATTAAAATGCCTTCACCTCAAACTGGAGTGGTGGCAGAACATTCAGAGGTGGATCACTTCAAGACCCTGGCACATTAAACCAAAACTGTATACACAGCAGTACCACTAGGAGTGATTGGGTAAGTAATTTGGGTGAAATAACCTTTTAAGAATTTAATATTTGTAATTTTTTCTTTTCTAGACCACAGACATTTTGTTATTATTAAGTAAATAAGTCACCACACACTGTAACTGTGTATAACGTCCGTATCGGTTAGGTTCAGCCTGTGACTTTTCTCAAAGCAACCTGCTCTGAAAATTTGTCATGATCTTAAGACTCCTCCACTGACATTTTTATTGAAATTGCAGTTTTGATTGATACACAATTTACCCACTTTGGACATCTTTTAATATGAGTTTTCAAAACAACCTGAGGAAACTTAACTTAAGTTTATTGCCTGACCTTTGTATAGCTGGCAAATACTACTACCTGGCATTCAACCTGGTATACCCAAGTCTTGGTGCATTGTTTGTGATTGTGTAACTAATCATTTTGTCCATGACGTGTTAACATTATTTTGTCTACTCTGTATAATTTAAGTGAGTTAACCTTAAAGAGGTATGACCCATGATGGAATAACCGGAATGATTAACAGACAAAGCTACTGGTGCTACTATCATGATTAGTAATGGCTCTTAAATTCTGTACCTGCCGTCTCTGAATCCAAGCTCTCTGCTGTGACTTTTGGGAAAATGGCCTCAGCAGCCAGCATGCCACTCTTCATCGCTGTGTGGGTGCCTTTGATCTTTGGGACGTTCATGAAACCGGGGCTGCAGCCAATCAGCAGCCCTCCAGGGAAAGTCAGCTTTGGTATAGACTGGAGAGGAAGAGGAGCGAGTTCATGCCCATTTTTGAACTTTCTTGTGTTCTACTTTCTGAGACCTTAAATTCTAACGGGTTTTCAAGAATTTGGTTGCTGTACTCTCAATAGAAATAAGGATACTGCGTCTTGTAAACGCCTTATCCAGGTCTAATCAAAAACAGGTTAAGACAAGGACACTGGTGTATATACAAGTAAATATTACATGTAAAATCTTAAGGCATATGACATTCGCAAACGGCTTTAAATGAAAAAAGTGGTTGGTTTATCAGCAAACAGTTTTCTTGTTGGTGATATCCTCTAGCTCATCCTGCGGGATCCTGAGGTGTGTTCTCAGGCAAAGTGGGATATATAATCCCTCAGACCTGTTTTGGGTCTGCTATAGGGTCTCCTCCCAGTTGGACATGTCTGGAAAACCTCCACGGGGAGGAGGAGTCCAGCAGATGCCCTAACTGACCTTTAAATTTGAGTGAGCAGTGGTTGTGCTGACTTGTTAATATTCAACAAATTATTTTACATTTATAAGTGAATACAGTTGTTACTATTAAAACAATGAAACCACTTAAAAACAGAGGTGTTGTATGTTACTGCAATACCTTAACTTAATCCTATTCTAATTTGATTGAGCTATCTATTTGGACACTAAGAGTTTTATTGCATATCTGGCAAATAAAGCATGTTATCTATACTTGCATTAGAAATTTCAATTTAAATACACCAATAATATAATGAGGCTGAGGAAGAACCAGAACACAGTTAAGATAAATCAATCTCACTTCAAAGGCTCAGATGCATTTGATGTATACAAATAAACCAAAGTGACTAATGAATCAGTAATAGTGAAAACATTTTAATAAAGATGTTCAATTAGTATCTTGTTTCTCTTGTCATTCAGCTGTAGCAACATTGATTTGTTTGCAGAGTAAATTAGATTCTACATTTAGAATTCTGCTGAGGGCTTTAATTAAATATGAAAGTAGGAATAAATTTAAAACAATCCCTGTAGGGAAACTAGCTGGTTTAATTGAGGCACAACAGTCATCCCTGTATGACACAAATATAAACTGTAAGTACATCTTGTGATTTCCCCAGTGACACAGCTTAAGTCAATGTTTTGACATTTAGATAAGGTCAATTTTAGGGTTTGAAAATGTTTGAAAATGCCTGGCTTGTTTCACTGCTTGTGGGTTTATCTTGTAAAATGGCAAGTTTGATAAACTAATTTTATGCTAAACAAGACTCCTAATTGATAATGATAATATGTACTATACCTGTAATCCTCCCTCATTCAGTGCCCTGGCTCCATATGCAATCCTGTTGCCTCCTTCCAGTGTGGGAGCTACAAAGGGATGATGTTTCCAGCGCTGGAACTCCCTGAAGGGGCTCAGGTAAGGATTGGTGTAGTCTAGACCAACCTGGAGTGGGGAAAAAAACACTGTATATAATCAGAATCATCTCAAAGTATAATATATAACAAACCTATTAGACAAATACAAAGTGGTCAAAGGTAGGGTGATTGGTTATTTTACGATGCTACTGTTATAATTGTAATAATAATTAAAATCCAATTAATGTTTTATTATATCTTCTTGAGTTAGTGTAGCATGTTTGCATCAACCCAGACAATCTAACAAAACATAACAAAATATAAGCAACAATACATAAATGTAAAGTAATTTGGGCCTTAAGTCTCTAGAACCTGTTAGCTTGTCACAGTACAAGTCAGAGGAAAAAAACAGACCAGGTCAAGGACTTCTTTGTCCCTTTAGATTACCCTTTGATGAAAAAAATGGAAGAGATTTGGAACCACCAAGACTATTCTGAGCTTGATGTCAGGCCAAACTCATTGACCAGACAAGAAGGGCCTCAGTCAGGGAGGTAAAAGCTGCCAGGATGATAGTGGCTCCATGAGGTGCCACTTAATGACTGTGAACAGTGTAATGACAAAAAAAAAATTACATTTGGCCTGAATGCAAAGTGAGATGCCTGGTGAAAACATCATACTGTTCACCACCTGGCTGATATCATGTTTTGTGAGATGCAGGTAGCAGCATCATGCTATGAGGATGCTTTTTATGTCAAGATAAACACCCTGCTTTAGAGTAGATGTGACTTACTCTTCATAAGCCAAGGTCTTCAGTCAAATCCCAGAATTTCCTTCAGTGATAAAATTACAGGACTGAACTCAATTAATGATCAGTGGAAAAAGCATTTCACCAGGGTTTCCTCATCCAGTCCGACATGAACAGTGGGAGCATCTGTCCCAGTCCACGTGTGCAGAATGGCTTTAGTTTTTAGTTTTTTTGTAAAATTTCCTAAAGAAAGATTTTTCTTTGTTATTAAGGGTAATAGGAGTACAGTGGGGAGAACAAGTATTTGATACACTGCCGATTTTGCAGGTTTTCCCACTTACAAAGCATGTAGAGGTCTGTAATTTTTTATCATAGGTACTCTTCAACTGTGAGTGACGGAATCTAAAACAAAAATCCAGAAAATCACATTATATGATTTTTAAATAATTAATTTGCATTTTATTGCATGACATAAGTATTTGATCACCTATCAGCCAGTAAGAATTCCGGCTCTCACAGACCTGTTAGTTTTTCTATAAGAAGCCTTCCTGTTCTCCACACCATTACGTGTATTAACTGCACCTGTTTGAACTTGTTACCTGTATAAAAGACACCTGTCCACACACTAGGGCTGGGCGATAAATCGATTTTATCGATTCATTCGAATTTGTAGTTAAACACGATTTATTTTTAGTTAAAATCGGTTTTCTCTTGAACATCCACAACACCGGTGCTCCCTTTGGGCTCCGTAGATCAGAGTGCGCTGACCCCTCCCCCTGCCTCTCCACAGATAGACACAACATGGCAGCAAGCCAGGATGAGCTCGTCCCCAAAAAAGGCACAGTGTCGTCGGTTGTTTGGAACTGGTTTGGTTTTGTGGCGTCCGACAGCGAACAAACCACGACCCACTGCAAAGTTTGTTTGAAAGCTGTTGCAACCAAAGGTAGCAGTACGACCAATTTATTCCAGCACCTCAAGCAGAGGCATGCAGCCAAGTGGGAGAAATGTTGCTCTCTGCGAGATATACAGGACCGCAGCCCACAAACACCCGCTAAAAAACAGTCTACAAAAAAATCGATTAAAATCGTAAATCGGGTTTGGTGTGAAAAAATCGGAGATTTTATTTTTAAGCCATATCGCCCAGCCCTACCACACACTCAAACAGACTCCAACCACTCCATAATGGCCAAGACCAGAGAGCTGTGTAAGGACATCAGGGACAAAATTGTAGACCTGCACAAGGCTGGGATGGGCTACAGAACAATAGGCAAGCAGCTTGGTGAGAAGGCAACAACTGTTGGTGCAATTAATAGAAAATGTAAGAAGTTCAAGATGACGGTCAATCTCCCTCGGTCTGGGGCTCCATGCAAGATCTCACCTCGTGGGGCATCAATGATCATGAGGAAGGTGAGGGATCAGCCCAGAACTACACGGCAGGACCTGGTCAATGACCTGAAGAGAGCTGGGACCACAGTCTCAAAGAAAACCATTAGTAACACACTACGCCATCATGGATTAAAATCCTGCAGCGCACGCAAGGTCCCCCTGCTCAAGCCAGCGCATGTCCAGGCCCGTCTGAAGTTTGCCAATGACCATCTGGATGATCCAGAGGAGGAATGGGAGAAGGTGATGTGGTCTGATGAGACAAAAATAGAGCTTTTTGGTCTAAACTCCACTCGCCGTGTTTGGAGGAGGAAGAAGAAGGATGAGAACAACCCCACGAACACCATCCCAACCGTGAAGCATGGAGGTGGAAACATCATTCTTTGAGGATGCTTTTCTGCAAAGGGGACAGGACGACTGCACCATATTGAGGGGAGGATGGATGGGGCCATGTATCGCGAGATCTTGGCGAACAACCTCCTCAGTAAGAGCATTGAAGATGGGTCGTGGCTGGGTCTTCCAGCATGACAACGACCCGAAACACACAGCCAGGGCAACTAAGGAGTGGCTCCGTAAGAAGCATTTGCAGGTCCTGGAGTGGCCTAGCCAGTCTCCAGACCTGAACCCAATAGAAAATCTTTGGAAGGAGCTGAAATTCTGTATTGCCCAGCGACAGCCCTGGAACCTGAAGGATCTGGAGAAGATCTGTATGGAGGAGTGGGCTAAAATCCCTGCTGCAGTGTGTGCAAACCTGGTCAAGAACTACAGGAAACGTCTGATCTCTGTAATTGCAAACAAAGGTTTCTGTACCAAATATCAAGTTCTGTTTTTCTGATGTATCAAATACTTATGTCATGCAATAAAATGCAAATTAATTACTTAAAAAAAATACAATGTGATTTTCTGGATTTGTTTTAGATTCCGTCACTCACAGTTGAAGAGTACCTATGATAAAAATTACAGACCTCTATATGCTTTGTAAGTGGGAAAACCTGCATAATCGGCAGTGTATCAAATACTTGTTCTCCCCACTGTAGAATGGAATATATATAAAATATGTAATACATTTGAAATACAAATCTATAACATAATAGGATTTGAATACCTTAAGCAAACATGTATTTTTTTGAAAATCCAATTTGAAATCACGATTATTCAAACGATTATTTTTTGCTGCATTTATTGGACATTTGTCAAAAACATTTTGCAACGAAGTCCTCAGTTACACTTTCCTTTCCCCATAAACATTTATAAGTCTCCACGTTACCTGTTCAAACGAAAACAACGTGACAGGAGAAGACTGCAACTAGTGTCGCGACCACCAGCGCAAGTATAAATAGTTACGGCGCTCCTGTGACTTCACATTGTCGCGCGACAGGTCGGGAACGGCGAGTATACCGAGCGCATGACTTGTGCTGTGCATGCTGTGGGGGAGGGACGGAAATACGCATGCCCGAAATACGCAGACTGTGGCTGTGTCCCAATTCAGGGGCTGCATCCGTGAATTGGAACACAGCTTTTTTCTATACAATGTTGCACAACAGGAAATTAAAAAAAAATCGTTTCCCCCGATTTTATTAGTTTTGAGATCGTTTGGCCCCAAAATCGTAATCATGATAAAATTTTTATTAATTGAGCAGCCTTATATCATTGTCAGAATGTAAAGCAGGGGTGTAACAGTACACAAAACCACATTTCAGTATATGTACATTTTCGATAAGATTAATAATTTATTTTGAAAAAAGAAACATTGAACAGTACTGGCATGTGTCAATAAGAAAAAATGAATAACACCAATAAATAAATGAAATGTTTGAAGTGTTCCCACATACATTGAACAATGTCCACATACATTTTGACACTAACCTGTCCGTTTTTGCTGTAACTGATCGGGAAATGATTTGTGTTTGCCATTCGGATGGCAGCAGCACGACATAAACATGAATCATTCCTGTACCAAAAGGTTCATGGGGAATGCATCTATCATTACACCATGAATACATAGCCACTCACCACAAAGCCCAAGGCCACTAGTGGCTCTCCTTCATTCAGGTGATACAGGAAGGATCCTCCATATGTGTGCCTGTTCAGGGGCCAGCCCACAGAATGCTCCACTCTGCCTGGTCTCCACTTCTTCTCATCAATTGTCCACAGCTACAACAGGAAAAGTGGAAATTATCAACAAGCAGAGCATTCATTTAAAGCTATCCATTCATCTCCTTTCATTATGTTCACATTTGCTTTATTTATGTTCATTACTCATTAGAAATGATAAGTCAAACCAGATTAAAGGGAAAACAAATTTAGTCACAAACGGAGTGACCGTTGCTCTCTCTTGGATTCGCCTGATGCGGGCAGTACATGTTATTTACCTCCTTCAGGCCTATGGCGTAGGTCTGGGGTTCACAGTTCTCACGCAGGTTAAATTGCTTGTAAAGCTGCTTTGCCAAGTGCCCATGACAGCCCTCTCCAAACAATGTGACTTTAGCATGGAGCTCCATTCCTCTCTCAAAAACATCCTGAAGCAAGAGAGGAAGAGTAAATGTAAATATATTTCATGAATGACAAGGAACTGTGTATAATACAGAGAATAGTTAGGTTGTGACCGAGTTGTTTTTCACATAGAGGACAAAATCATTTAGTATAATCCTTATAAAAACAAAAAATAAAACCTACCTTCTTAAACCCAAAGGGCAAGAAAAGGATTTTCTAAATTGCAATTATATACTACATGTACTAAAAATGCTGTCTGCCTACAAAATATTGCCCTGGTATACAGTATATAGCATATTACAAGGTACTGTATAATATCTTAATCATACAATACATCTATACAATGTACCTATCAGGGACAATCTCATTCTTTATTTGAAGCAACACAAAAACTACTTAGATAAAGAAGGTCTGTTAATGGAATTTTCTATGCTTGATGCCTCAAAACAAGCTCTTGTGTTCCTGTTGGTTTGTTGCAAACCTTTATGTCCTTTCAAAGAGCCTGATATACCCAAGCTGTTCATGCGTATATTGTAAAAAATGGCCTGCATTTGTAATTTTTCAGCAGTATTATTAAATTACATTTGTTGCTGCACAATACCTTCGGTGAGCCATCCTTGGCAATGCCTACATCATTAGTGGCGATTCCCTTTACACTTCCATCTTCATGAAACAAAACCTTGACAAAAGTAATACAGAACAATGTTAACGACTGGAGATGAGAGAAGACAGTAAACAGGTTGATTAAAATGACTAAACTTTTTTTTTTGCACACAGTGTAGATGCTACAGAGGTTGAACGTTTTGTAGCACAGGACACAAAATTGTAGCATTGCAGTGTAAAATGTATATGTATGTTACCACTACTAAAAACAACCACAAGTAGTGCACTAGATCACTTCAACAGCTAGCGACTGGCAAAGGACAAATAATGTTGCATACAGGCCATGCAAAATCCAAACCATAGCAAGAAATGTTTTCAGACAAACATTTTCTTTATTTGTCCATAATGGTAAACTGCAGTTACAAAAATAATAGGGAGTAAATTCAGAACAGGAGTAGAAATGATTGACTCAGACCAGTGGTGTAAGCACTTGAAGTAGGTGTTCAAAGTTTGATCTTTACCAACATTTATGGAGAAATGAGCTACACAGCCATAGCCAAACCACCCAACTATTTACATACATTTTGAGAAATAAAAAAAAAAAAATGTGTTTAAGAAAAATGTTATTCACCTCAGCAGCAGCATAACCAGGATACAGCTCCACTCCAAGCTCCTCTGCCTGCTCCCCCAGCCAGCGCACAAAATTCCCCAGCCTCACAATGTAGTTACCATGGTTATTCATGGGCAGACCTACAAACAGTGACAAAAATCACACACACATAAAATCAGCACTGCTGGGACTCTGGTGTTATATCATATAAGTTTTAACAAGCTGGCCAACGTGTTTGAGATACCATCCTTCAACTAAATTACCTCAGTATGAACACATACCAGTATGGTACACCTTTTTGTCATAATTTCTGTATGCAACCATTTTTATAAGAGAAGACATATGACACACCTGTGCTAAGATGTGATGTAATGTCCAACACATAGATTAGATATATTCACATAATTTAATACAAAAATGGAACATATGTACATAAATGCATAATGTGCATTCTAATTTCAAAACTGATTATAATGCAAAACAGTCAGTTTGCCGTATATTAAGTTTCCTCTGTTTGAAATTTTTGTGGTGTGGCAACACCTATAACTAGATTTAGACTGTAAGAATGCTGTATCTTTCTTTCGTATCAGTTCAGGTATACAATGTGTGCTCACTCTACACACCACTCAACTGGCAATAAAATGCTGATGGATTCTCTCTGTTAGCTTTAATATATATATATATAAATATATAAAATATAATATAAAAATATAAAATATTACTGTAGTTGTAAGTAACACATGGTAATAGTAACAAATGTAATTCTGATCTCTGACTGAAACCATGGATATATGAAACACCCTCTGTTGGGCCAAACCTTGTAAGGCCATGTCAGACCAATAATGCGGCTTACAAAGTGAGAGAGCACTGTACATTTTTATTAGAATTTCAAATAAAACAGGGTTTTACCTGGCAACATAGGGACAGGGATTCTGTGTTTCTCTGTTAAAATGCTGAACACATCTTCAGTCACTGGAGTGTTGAGGGGTGCCTGAGGTAAGAGCACAATGTGTGTTGTTGAAAGTTTTACTTCATAGGATTTGTACTTTGTATTAATATTCAGATCTGCATTAACACAAAACCATACATATTCTATATATATATATATATATATATATATATATATATATATATATATATATATATATATATATACCCAGTGTAGGTATATGCAAATACTGAATAAACTGAGTAAAATGTAAACATCTTACATAAAGCATTGCTGACAAACTACATTAAAGAAGACGCAGCAACAGCATGGAGCACCTGATGTAACCATCCTTTATGGTTAAAATAAACTGCATCTTTGTAGATCAATCCAAGAAGGGCTGTCCAGGACTAAGGATTTCCCTAGTCGACTATTAGTTGTTAATTCAAGCCATAAGTCAACTGGCTTTGGAATGTTGATGCTATTGATTTAATTATTTAAATATATTAACATAATAACAGCCGCCTGGTAAACAATAACAGAAATGAACAGAATAACAGAAATTATTATGTATGTGTGGGAACAATGGAGCAAGGAGACTGACCATTTAGTTAATTTATTTCAAAAAAATGTGTTCAAAACACGGTATAAATAACTTCATAAAAACAAACACTTGTAGATTTATTGATACAATGGATGACGTGTAACGTTACTTACAAATCAACTCGCTACAAACTTGCTGCTCTCCTGTTTCACACCTCTCCCGCCCTGCCTAGTCCTGGTTGGAGCCGCTGTAAGTCACCTGGCCTTCGATGATGTAGGAGACTGTGTTTGGCTCCAGCCATGGTCACTGGGAGGCTGATGAGCCTGTTGTCTGCTCACCCACTCTGGCTATGCTGCTCATTCCGGCCCCACTCTCCTTCTCCTACCCCAAACCTCCCCCAGTTCTTACAGCTTGTAGTCCAGTACAGTCTGCTGATAGGACTGCTAACTAGTTGGCAGCAGCAGCTTGTTAGCCGTCACAAGAGTAAAGGTCCATGTCACAACACTCTCCTGATCCTTTAGCCCCCGTAAAAAGGCAAATATCTGACTAATGAAAAGTGCGTCAAGTAGGACTCTTCTCGTCCATCAACAGTTTACCCAAATATTAGGGGACAGCCCCACTACACACCAAACTCACAAAGAAGACACGTTGAATAAGACACTCACCCCTCGTTCCTTCCAATCCGGAAAGAGCTCTCTGAGGGCAGTGGGTTCCAGACAGGCTCCTGACAAGGTGTGTGCTCCAATCTGAGAGGCCTTCTCCACAAGGCACACTCGCAGTTCCTTCTCATGTTTGTTGGCTAGCTGCTTCAGTCGAATGGCTGCTGAAAGACCGGCAGGGCCCCCACCTACTATCACCACATCTGCCTCATCGGCAAATCTCTCCATTTCGATCCCTGGGAAAGGACCATAAGGAAGAAATGCTGGGGAACGAGAGAGGCACTGCAATCTGATTCCCTTTTTAAAAGGATAACTGCAATGTTGCGTGGCACACTTGGAAAAACGTAGTGTCAAATCTGACAGGATTAGGCAGGGTTCTATTTGCAGTGGAGCTAAACAAACTAAGTGTGAATTATTCGCTTTAATAATTTTTTTTATTCACACCGATTCCTCACCATAGTATAGTTTAGTAGTTTTTTAACTGAATGCTATCATTCTGTTGAGTGTTTATTTTTGTCCCCTGTGCATCTTTTTAGTTGTGGCTTTAGTTTCATTTGCAGTGAGTGCAGCCGTCATCAACTCTCCACTGGAGGAGGGACAGATAGCAGGGGATAGCAGATGACAACCACACACCCAAGTGCAAGTCAAACATAAGCCCCGCAAGTAAAAACCCAATAAGAGCACTGTTGCTATAAAATTTAAAACTGTCTCAGCTTATTGCTTGTGTTTCCACCAATTCTTGAACTTTTTTACAGACATTACAACTAGCACTGTTGTCCTCTTTTTCTGCAACATAAAACCACCTCTTTGGACGCTTTCTTCCTCTCCGCCATGACTCCTTCTTGCAGCAAGTTTGCTGCAGCGTAGAAGCATGAGCTTGACGTCACTGTTTTGCTATGCACAATGGTCAGAAGAACACGCCAAGCTTTGACAAAAGGAAGTGATAAGCTCGGAGGCATACAATACGATACAATTCGCCAATTTGGAACTGATTCTGAAATGGAACCTGATGGAGCTTGATCGGGATATCCCAACCTTTTTTTTTTTATATCTGTAGCCTTTTTATTTCACTCAAATGCTGCTGTGACAAGTGAATTTCCCCATTGTGGGATTAATAAAGTTATCAATCTATCTTCTAAACAGAAATGGAAAACCTCAATGAACTCTAAGTATGGAATCATATTGCATGCCTGATCAGATTTCAGAAGACAAAAAGACTTAAGCTCATGGGCTGAGGAGCTTAGATCAATCCTGTCCAACCTTGCTGCCACAGCAAATCCTCAGTGACATTTCTCTTTCCATGGATATTATACAAAATATTTCAGGCAATAATACAAAATATGATACGAAATCACCAAAGTAAAGGTGTAATGCAGGCTGTATATTCCTAACACTTTCAGTTGTCAAACATGTCTAAATGGCTTTAGTAATTTTATTGTAAGCATATGATAAGTGAAAGGTGCACTGTGAGCTGTATTGTATAAGAAAAAATTTAATTGAAATGCCTGGACATATCAAAAACCAGGCATAATGAATCTTACAGATAAAAAGGGGGAAAAAAATACAAATTATAGACAAAACTGGGAAGATACATCGTGGATCAAACTACAAAATGATCGATCCTCAATCCAAGGGTGCCAGTGGATGTCTGGCCAGAAACCATGTTGCTAGTGATGATGATGTGATGATAAACTCTGGATAATGCAGCGTCTTACCTTCCCATCTCGGATCTTTTTCTCGAGAATGGATGGTGTAGTGTGTTGTGATGCGGGGTGTTGACACCGAAGAGCATGTCCGTCTGTTTAGTGTTGTGTACAACTGAGGGGCTGCATGCTCCGTCTGTACTGTCTTCAATGCCCTGATACACCTGTGGGCTGCAAGAGAGATAACAGCTCCCAGTCAGGACCAGTTCAAAGTGGTGGGCATGTGACTGTATACAGCTGAATAGTGTCCTCATGCTCACTTGGTTTAGTTGAGCCTGAGCCGGTTCTTAAAGAATAAAAAAAAAAAACACACAAAAATACAATAACATGACGTCTAAGAAGACCTCTTAAAATATAACATAAAAAAAATAAAAATAAAAATAAAAATAAATAACACAGGACACACACACACACACACACACACACACACACACACACACACACACACACTATTTTAGTAGCTAATGTAGTGACAATGCCAGACAGCTGTCACACTGCTACAGTAAGTTGTAGCAGTAGCACTATGCTAGCTAGCAGAGTTGAAGATAAATTCAAAGTTCAAATAAATATTATTCTTACAAAACAATACACTTTTTACAGAACCTTCTAAACAATGATAAGTTACTAACACCAGTACACGGAAAACGCGTGGATACATAGCATCAACGTTAACCCAGGACAAGGGCACTGTTTAAGTAACCTACATACTGGTTCACCTTTACCCTACATGTTAGCTTGAAGCTAACAGAAACGAGCTTGTTGGGATTGTTTTGACTTTGTGCTAACACTAGCATTAGCACAAAGTCTAAAAACAGAGTTAGGCACAAATAAACAACATTCCCCACCCTCTACAGCAGGCTGTAATAAGCAACATCTGACCAAAGTGCCGGTCAAACTAACGTTAAGTATGTTTAAAGTCCAGCACACCGAGCTCCCTCTGGGTTAGCTAACTAGCCTTTAGCTGACGTACCTTTACTTGAATATCTGCTAGCTGGAAACATGATGTGTCAGCTGCTGTGAGCTCGCTAGCGGACAGCAGCTTTTTCTTTTTACAGTCAGCCGAAGAGCAGTTGTGGTGTTGTCACTTCACCGCCAGTGTAAAGGTTGTGTAACCCGCCCGCTCTGCAAACAAACGCAGTCTGATACCTTACACAAAGCGTCTCATAACACAGGCGTTGGAGCGCGTCTAAAGCTGCGGGGCTGCGCCGGCGTTCATGTAACAGAGCCAAGTGGTAACTGCGCAGTTGTGGAGCCATAGGACGTTTACGTTTCACTCTCTGTCTGAGTTATGGTGAATCTGAGATGTTTAAATTGTGTTAAACGAGTCGTTCCAGGTTATTGTGCAGACAGTGTGTCGACGTTGTCCAGTCCAGAGAGTTTAGCCTATCTGACATAACAAAATGTTCAAAATAATGATCTATCTATTTGAACTAACTAAAGCTATTTAAAGGAGATAGTAAAGTAATGTAAAAATGTAAAGGGGATGTAGATTAGGTTGTGGTCTATGAATTTAGTGGAAATTATAGTATCTACTTTGTTTTTGTTAGTGGTTGAGGCTAAGTACATTTGTGTAAGTGAAAAACAAAGAAAACAAGCCATGTGTTCAGGCCTTGAACTGCTGCAACTGAGGCACTGAGCATTTCATTTGTTTTTCTCTCTGCCTTTGAAGAGTGTTGGATTTGTTTGTTTTCACAACAGCTGATAAACTCTATGGGGGAGGAGGGGAAATTGAGTGGAGAATCAAAAAGAATTATAATGGTGAAATAAGCAATAACCTGCTAGAAATCTGAAAGTGACAGCCTTTTTCATTTCCCGCTGAATGCCCTTCTTAAAGTGTTATCTGTTGGCACTTTATTACAGCTGTGTTGTGATTACTGTTCTACCAACTATGACTTACAATGTATTCTTCCACTTTACAGTCAAGTTAGTCTTTGGGAATCAAGTTTTATTAGTTGTACATTTATACAAATCCTTTGCTCCAACTCTTGTTTATGGTATCTAACAGTTCTGTGACTTTGTAATCACTATGATTGAGTTTGTTGTGTGTTATCCAACAGTGCAATCTTCAGTTTCACAGTTTCTGCCATTAAAGGCCAACTCCTGTTTTCAACTTTTTTGGAAGTACTTTAGTTGATGCATAGCTGTGGACCTATATGCATAGTGGCAGCAGATGATAAACTGCTTAAATGCAAGGCCAGTGAAGTATTTTTAGGTAGTGTTATTGCTACTTACTACAAGTACTGACCCAACTATTCCCAATATGTCAGAAAAAAACCTATGAGATACATTTGTACTCCGTACCCATGCTTCAGAGGAACATCTCAACAACCCCAGGTAGGTGTGGCAGGGCATACAGACCATCACCAACTACAGAGGCTGTGCTGGGACACCCGGGGACTCAGATACGGGGTTGGCAGAGGAGCTGAACAGCTTATTTGCCCGCTTTGAGTCTCAAACACAGCACTCAGCCACATCACTCCAACGACCACTGCAACCCCCACCAATACCGGACATTCTGATCCCCAAGCTAGCCAACCTGGGGCTCCCACCACCCACCTGCTCCTGGATAAAATACTTTTTGGTCAACCGACCCCAGCAGGTGAAACTGGGTCCTCACCCCTCCTCCTCCCGCACTCTCAGCACTGGCTCTCCCCAGGGCTGTGTGCTGAGCCCACTACTCCCTCTACACATCCGACTGCAGTCCCGTCCACCCAGAGAACATCATTCTGATTACAGGGGGAAACGAGGCGGCCTACAACTTGGCACTAAACATCACCAAGACAAAGGAACTCATCCTGGACTTCAGGCGGAACAGAGCCCCCCTGTACATCAACGGTGAATGTGTAGAGCGAGTGGAATCCTTCAAATTCCTCGGCATCCACATCTCTGCAGACCTCTCCTGGACGGTCAACACCACAGCGCTGGTCAAGAAGGCCCAGCAGCGGCTACACTTCCTGAGGGTGCTCAGGAAGGAGCAACTAAACACTCAGCTGCTGGTGACCTTCCACCGTTCCACCATCGAGAGCCTGCTGACCTACGCTGTGACAGTGTGGCACTCCAGCTGCACAGAGGCCGACAGGAAGCGACTGCAGAGGGTGGCAAACACCGCACAAAAAATCATCGGCTGCCCTCTGCCTTCCTTGACTGCCATCTATAACTCCCGTTGTCTCAGCAGGGCCAGAAACATCTTGAAGGACACCACCCACCCCGGCTTCCATCTCTTTAACCTGATGCCCTCTGGTAGGCGTTTCAGGTCCATACGGGCCAGAACAAACAGACTCAGGGATAGCTTCTTCCCCAAAACTGTCACCATACTAAACTCAAACTTGCACTAATGTTTTTATTGTTTTGTATTGTATTTATTGTATAGTCTTTTATACCGTGCTAATTATGTGTGCACTTTTACGGGGCTGCTCTTTAAATTTCATTGTACTGGGTATAATGACAATAAAGGCTTTTCTATTCTATTCTATTAACTTATATCACTTATTGTTTCAGTTTTACAATCCAAACAATGCCCAAAATAATAAGACAAAAAACAAATGTGCACAAAATAATAAATATCAACAAGCAGATATGAAGTGTACATATATTTATTGTACACATTTCACTCAAGAACAACAAAAACACAAAAAAACTCCCTTGTAAGTAATTTATTGTGGGACACAAGTCAATACAACAAATTAAATGGTAACACATTCAAAACATTTTTCCATCAATATTCAATGTAAGCCTGCAGATATTATGAGCAAACTCCTCAGTTCTCTGTCTTTTCAGTATAGGAATGTAATGTAAACACAAATGGCACATACAACATATTCACAAATCATTGTTTTAATAACAAGGTCATCGCCATCTGTGTTATAGCATGTCTGCTATACATTCATACATTTACAATGTCTGGAAAAGTCAATTTCCACACATGCACAGAATATTTTATGATCACTGTACAAATGTCTTCACTGTACAGATCACAGTGTAAAAAAATGTGTAGTGTGGTGTGGTTTGTGCGGCGAGGTTGAGTCCAAGTTCAACCCCCCAGACCAGCTGGGGTATTTCTAGACAGGATGTATAAAAGACTATTTAAAATTGCTGCCTGCCCAAATTAAGTACATTCTTTCATAAACATACTGGACATATCTCAAACATTACATTCAATATTTCCCTAAAATAATTTTTGGTGGCAGTGGCAACACAAAAAACACTTTTGATGGATGCAAGAAGAAGGGCTTTAAAAAGTTCTTTGCTGCAAGTTGCATGTATTATTATCGATACAAGATGAAACTAGTAAGTACAGCATGCAATGTATTTTTATGGGCCCAATCAAAAAGGCTTTATAAGGGTTGATTCACACAAATCTCTTCATCTGAACTGCCCAGTGACTGATTGTAATTATCACCAGATTACAGTTTTTCCTGTCACAGAATGTTCCCATAAGACATCATTACTCAGGGCCAGGAGAGAGAAATCAGCATCTATAATAAACTTAAAAGACAAATGCAAGTTTCTTGCAGATTTACAGCTGCAAATATTATGATTAGACGATATGGGTTTTCTTTGTCCATATTATAAAAATAAAGTAAATCTACAACTGCAAGGCTAGTACAATTTTAACATTTTAGACTGAAGACAGCAAGATATGTTTGAAAGGTCCAGAAAAAGCTTTTGGGATTTTGCAAGAACAACCTTCTACATTAACTATTTTGTTTTGAGTCACATGGTTAACAGGACCTGTGGTTATTGGATTTGAACAAAATACGTTTACGTTATCACTGTTAAAAATGATAAGTTGTCAACATTTTACTCGCCAGTATACTAGTAGATGAATATTCAGCTAAGAGTATGGACTATGGATAATATATAATGTTTCAGCTTTCAGAAAGAATAATGAAAGAAGCCCTTTGCGAGAAATTAAACGGAGACCTAGTGGAATAAAAGCTAAACCATTAGCTGGGCATGACTTATGCTCTGTACTGATATATTTTCGGAGTGTAGTGTTCATAAGAGTAACTGTACTGCCACATAAGGGATTTCCACACTTCACTTGACTTCACCCATTGCTGTGATGGCTGCTGCTTGGTCAAGACATGCACACAGTGGGATTCCACTAACTCTAATGAAGATGAATTATTTTTAGGACAAATCTGGGCACAAATCAAGGACTGTCCCTTTAAAAACGGTATTAGTAAAAGGTCAAACACTTTGCCGAGATGAATGTACCTGAATCATCTGTTAAGGGTGACTCTTTGATGTCATTATGAACAAATCTGTGTAGCGGCTGTTCGACACCTAGATGAGTTCATTTGTTTGTGTGTATATGTGGGTGTGTGCGAGTGTGTGTGGCGCTGTTTGTTTCTGTGAGCATACTGACAGCACTGTATGTTGCTTCTGTTGCTGTGTGCACGTGGTAATGTCATTGTATCCCTCGGTAGGGTTTTCCACCGGGGTGAGCTTGGCTAGCGTGCCTGTTGTCTCCAGCGGGTGCCCCGTGGTGAAGCCGTGGCTGTTCTCCTGCAGGGGCCACATTTCCTGCCAGGTGAGCGACGGATGATGAGCTGGGTGACCACTGAGCAGAGGCCTCTTCTGCCTGTAGTTAGCCCATACCTGCAGAATGGTCTCTTTGAAGGGCCGTGTGGTCAGCGTGTAAAGGATGGGGTTAAGGGCGCTGTTAATGGGGAGAATAAATATGACCACCCAGGAGCTGATAGTACCTGCAGTGAGAAAAAAGACAGAGAAGAAGAGGTAAGACAACAGGACTAAGCAGAGTTCAACATGGTTGTGAGTTGGCAGAGTACTTGAACATAAAATCCTTTAATCAAAGCCATTTATGTAATTAATGAAAATCCCTTTTACCCCTGGGCATCTAATTAGGAAGCCAGAGCTCACAGGTTATGTATGTAATGGACTTTCTGCACAATATTAAATGGTCATTTGGGTATAGAGTGCAAGCTAAAAACACCAAGGTGTCTACAGTTAAATGCTTTTTATTCAGTGGTGAATGCCTTTTTAAAAACCTTTTAAAACTTAGTTGAAACACCTGTCATAGTACTTAAGACATTTACTAATATACAGAAAATGCATTACAATTTAATACAATTAAAGAAATACTCAACCAAAATGTCTCTTTTGAGCACTCATCTCCCTATAGGCTTGACATGTGGCTCTGAAGAGTTAGTAGCTTTGCAGAGGAAGGCAGATGTAGTCACAACATAGCTATAAACTTTACTTCTGTGTCATGCTATTGTGTCGTAGCTCCAAAGTTTATCCAAAAATGGCCAATTACTTGGAAAAAACTGTGCATAGGAATCAACAGCAGATAAGTGGATTATGTCGTAGTTCTTTTTTAAAAATTTCGATGGCCATTTTGAGGGTTATTTTAGCCACTGAATTCAATGGCGACCAAGATTTACGTCAGTGGCTGTGATTTCGAGCTCACTATAGCTGCTGTTTCTGCACAAAAAAGCATGCTACAGAGTTTTCAGAACCACATTGCAAGCCCACCGAGGAAGCGTATTTGATACTCAAAGTGTAGACTTCCAGTGGAGTAACCCTTTACATGGTTATAGCACTTTTACTGTACCGGGAATCTCCACCTGCAGCAGTGACAGGATCTTGAGGATGAAAATGGGGATCCAGCAAAGGGAGTCAGTAATGACGATAGAGAAGAACCTTTTGGCGATGGTCACCTCTTTCTTGATGTGGTTGCTGTATTTAGTGGTCTGAGTCCCTGTTCTCTGGATGTTATAGAACATGCTTGCATAGGATAGGACAATGATGAGGAATGCCACCAAGTTCAGACCTGCAGAGAAATATCTGGTTAGTTTCTGGATTGCAAATGCAATAGCTCATATTTGCACTGTGGATGTTCAATAATAACGAAGCTATGCAAATTAAAATAAACAACAAAACAGCTCAAAGGACTATTGCAAGAATAAATGCCCACCCAGGAAGATGACAATGGAGTAAACATGAGCCCAAAGTGTCTCTGGCTGCTCAGAGTGCAGTGGGAAGCAAACTCCATTGGTCCCGTAGAAGTTGCGAAACAGCCCCTTGCAGGCCAGGGGCAGGAAGGCAACAATAAAGCCAAACACCCATATCCCGAGAAGGATGGTGACAGTTCGTCGCCAGCCAGGAGTCAAGTACTGGAAAGGGTAGACGATGCAGATGTATTTCTCCAGAGTGAGGTACGTGAGGAGAAGGACTGATACCTCAGTGGACAACATGGCCAAAGAGCCGATGACCTGACACTGACTGCTGTCCATCCAGGCCTGGGCGTGCCGGTTGTACTCGCCACGGAACTTCAGATCATACGCACCGATCATAAAAAGGTAAATTCCCATCAGCCCGTCTGCACCTGCAAGAAAGGAGAGCTCTAATTGACAACATATTCCAAAAAATGTATTGACTGTAAAGATTGGTTCAACAATTAAACATCTTTAAAGACACATTCAGATCCAGCGTCCATCCAAGTGTTCACACCTTAAGCTTGGTTCATTTAACTGAATGTATTTGAACTCCAAACAAAGACCAACACTGACTGATAAAGCAGGTCTTTTTCAAGCAGTTCTCTTTCATAGGAACTGCAATGCAATTTCTTCGAAGTGAGAACCGAATCAAACCAAGTACAGACATGGCCCTACATGAAAGGCTTCCTGTCTATAATGTGGAGATGGATGATGACAAGCAGGTCACTCAACTTTGGAAATACAACTATAAGAAAAGAAACCAGGGAAAAAAACCAAAAACTTTTTTAATAAAAGGGAGAAATTTAATAAAAAAAAAAAAAAAAAAAAAAAAAAAAAAAAAAAAAAAAAAAAAAAACCAAAAAAAAAAAAAAAAAAAAAAATTAAAAAAAAAAAAAAAAAAAAAAAAAAAAAACCCTTTTTTTTTTATAAAAAAAAAAAAAAAAAAAAAAAATAAAAAAAACCCAAAAAAAAAAAAAAAAAAAAAAAACCCACCAAAAAAAAAAAAAAAAAAAAAAAAAAAAAATTATTATTATTGCAGTCAGGTAATGTAATGATGGATATGCGAAGATGGCCTTACACCCATTGGTGTGTATTTATAAAAATAAATACAGTGTTGTGTTACTGTTGTTGATGTTTACTCCAGCATCACAGACTTTAGAAGCTGGGTAAGCAACGGAGACAGAAAGGGAAGGGAAGAAGAAAATGGAAAAGGGAAACTTCCTGGAGCACTAAAATGGCGAATTGTTATTAATTTACAGAGTAAGATGTTTTCTGTCTTTATGCTAAGCTAAGCTAACTGGCTGCTGGCTGTAACTTCATATTTAATGGCTAGGCTTGAAAGTGGTATTGGTCTTACTCTCAGCCACAAGCAAATAAGATTATTACCCAAAATGTTCAACTAGTCCTTTAAAATGTCCCCCTGTACTCATGTGTCATCAATCACCATTTGATTGCTTTGGTACTGTTTGAAGATGTTGTATTTGCCTTTTGTTGTATTATCGTCATTATCATTAACATCTAGCTATATATGAATATTTATTAGGGTTCCCGCTCTTTTTAATAAATCTCTTTTCAGGATCATTCCAGGACATTTTTCTGGAGCTTTTCTTGACAAAACAGAACAGCACTTGCTCACAAACGGTCATATAATTTACCAGTAGGCCAAATACTGACACATTTAACTGACACAGTTTTATCCCTCGTGGTTCATTACAGCCTGGCTGTTCTCACAACCACTGATTTCTTTTCTGCTTCGGTTTAAGTGGAGCAGAGCTGAGGCGAATTGAAAATAGTTTACTACAGTTTTCCTCTAATAGTAACATTAATAGTTTAAATCAAGTACAATATTTACTTTATTTTACAGAAAATGAATCTTCAATCAGCCAATTAAAATAAGAAGTAGAGAGTGACAGGGTCTGTTGCACGTACAGTTAACATCACTATCTTTTTATCAAGCACAACAACACATTTAAATTGGATCATTAATGGGCTGTATGCATGTAGATATGAGATTTCTGCCCGCGGCTCAGAACTCGACAGCAAAAAGATCACTGCAAGTCAGTTGTGCTTCATGTCACCCACTTTGAAGTGTCATACTATGCAGCTCATCCAACAAACAGTCATGTTTCAAACTAAATACGCAACCAGGTTTTTGTAGGAGATCTGAGTGAGTTGCTAAAATGGAATTATATTGTCCATGACAGCATAGATTATTTCCAGGATATTTGGTCATTTTAATCAATTGGGTGTTTCCATGACTAGCAAAATGGTCTCTAAATTTCCAGGATGCGTGGGAACCCTGTTCATGGATAATTGTGGGCTAGGCAGTAACAATGTGCACATAAATACATCATGACAATAAAGAGTACTTGTATATGGGATACTGTACTGCTTTAATGCACAGGCTGTAGGCTTTTTAACTACACAGATGTTTCTGCATCTGGCCCACAGTCCCAAAGTTTTCAAAGTCTTGCCTATGAAAAACTAACAACCAAACAAAATAATAAATAAATCCCAATCCCACATGGTATTTTCTTTTACAACTATGTACTTTTTCTACCCTCAGCCTACCACCACAATGTGTTTGCTGACACTTTGTCAAAGCAGAAATTAAATTCAAAGCTTGCATCCTCTGAGGAACTCGCCACTCCTTCATCATCAGTCACTACTTAATGTTTCTTTAATAATATAGTAAGTGTATTACCCAAACCCTCCTGAGAATAAATCCTTTGATATGGAAGCAATACCAATGCTCATGAAAAAGCATTTTTAATTTCACACACACTGTATATATCCTCATTAAAGACTCCCCTAATATTCGTCATGTGAAAATTGGATGGGGCAGCTGAGACGAAGCTTTGCTGTGCATAATCTGAATGAAAACCTTCGGAGCTGACACATACCTTTAAGTGTCAATCAATGCAATATCTTCAGCATAATATTTTTTGCTTTTGTAATTGCTATTTAGTTATTGAATTATGAGATACAAAGTGATGCATTATACTTCTATATGAGTACATTAAAGTGTTGAAGTTGAAGTATAAATTGACCTCTGGCTGACTCAAGCCGGCTCAAAGTACTCTCTAACATAAATCAGGAAGGATATAGAAAACAAGCGCTACATTCTTAGAAACTAAAATAAATAGAAAAGGTGTAGCAAAGGTTAGATACAGAGAGGCAGAGAATTATGGGTGATAAATGTGTGAAAACCCATAAGGTAACATCAAATGATAAAAGTATATTGAATGACCAGATGCAAGTCCATTTACAGCGTAGGAAGAATCGTTCTCACAACTCTTGTTCTGGTTCTAAACCACATTACCAGCGACACACACTCTTATCTGAATGTCTCTGCTTTGTTTGTGCCTTCTTTCTTTCCAGACTCAACGCTGTTCCACTTTAATAACTGGATTAAAAGCAACATTCAGACACGTCCTGCTCACATGAAGAGACACATAATCCACTGTTGTTAAAAAGAAGCGAACAATGAATAATATCGAGACATTTTCGCTTGTGCTAATTACCTTATGCTCTGTTTTTGTCTGGTCTCAGCCACCATAAATTAGTGTGCTATCAGCCCCCACTGACATTCTGGTAATAAAGTTTTAAAGGTCGCCATATTAAGTGAACCACAGAAGGAGATAATGAATAATGGCTGTCATCCTCCACATGGCTTTCATTGTGGATGTAGCAGGAAAGCGAGCATACAACCACTATAACATATCATTTCTGCTTTGCATATTCTGAGCTCTTTGATCTCAGCTGCTCTGAGACTTATAGTCCACATAGGATCCTTTATGTTTGACTTATAGATGTAAAATGCCACCGTAGGCACAGACACAACATTTATTTCCTATATATTTTGCGCTTTTATGTTTTCTCTCTCTGTGCAGTTTCTATTCAAAAGAAATTCCCTCTTGGGAACGATAACCATAAAGTTAATGTACACTATCTGGTTTCACACCTGCATAGATCCATTCAGCAACTTCCCATAACAGCAAGTTTGTTTAAAGGTGGAATTGTTTGCTTTATATTATCTTACTTTCATGAATTCACTTTCCTCCTGAGACTTATAATGTCATAGTGAGACCCATGCTGAATGTCAGTTAGAAGCTAAAGTGCCAAAATGTGAAGGAAAATGCATTATTAGATTTTTGGCATGAGGAGCCTTTATCTGTGCAGTGTCAGTGCTATCATATAAATTCTACTCTATTTCCAAAGGAACTTTCTCACTGCAATCAAAGTCTTTGTTCCTGTAGAAGAAGCCCTTCAATGAACTCTCACAGCCCTTATCTGAATGCCATCACACACCTGCAGTAGATACGGTTGGATAAACAAACACCACGCTGATAGATTTTGACTATATACCAATGCAGTCATATGAAGTTAGTTTTGTCTGCACTGCACATAGTATAGCATAAGTTACATTCCAAAACTATATATACACTTGGGGAAAACACTGTAAGTCCAATTGACATAGCTACTGTATAGGTATAAGTTATCTGAAGGATATTTATCTTGGTAGATGAGTCAGTGAATGTTCTGTGAATGAATCACTGCCTTCACTGGACCGTTGAGCAGTTACCATTTTTGTGCCAATATTATGCTGTGATTAATTTATTTTAATCGGATGGCAAAAATTACACTTTGGAACAAGATTGTATTATTTCTACATTTAGTATTATTCATGAGGGTGTCAACAGTGTACATAATACGAAATCATTGTTGGTGAAACACACTGATAAGCACACTGGGAACTCATTTAAAATTTCCTACTGAGTTCATAGGTCTGTTTACTTCAAAAGTAGGAAACTAAATTATTTTGCAGAATTTCCACTTTCCCCTTCTGTAGTTGTATCTGGCATAATTCCAGACTATAGTCCGGTTTATAAACACAATGAAGAGGTAAATATAAATATAAGTATACTGTAGTGGTAATAAGGCAGAAAGCCACCAATTTATCATATTGTAAAAACTTGTTATTTGGCAGTAAATACCACACCATCTATATCTGTATGACTTACAGAAGAGACTGGATAATACCTATATATACACATATATACTGTAAGTAATGGTAAAACGTATTCTGCAAATATAAATCCTGTTTCCACTAGATCCCTCCTTTAAATGCAGTGTGACTTACAGCAGAGGGAGATGATGCACATGGCATGGAGTTTGTTCTCCGATCGGATGTAGGAGCGCATGCAGATGACGAAGATGTTGCCGAAGCAGGTGGTGGCAGAGACCACCCAGACGAAGACCCTCAGCACGATGTTGGCCAACAGGTCCTCGAAGGACGAGATGCCGTCTGTGTTGGGTTTGCAGCTGCGCACATGAGGAGCATAGCCGCAGTATTGGAATTTCTTGAAGTAGCTGTGATAATAGATTAAAGAAGAAAATCAAGTTAAGAAAAAGAAATAAGGGAGTTTATTTACTGGGTTTTTATAGGCGAGTGTGCAGTCCACACACCTTAACAGCTTTTTTTGTTGAGACGATTGGAAAGCAGAAACATAAAAAAAGAAAAAGAAAAGGGTTGATGATTTTGACTAAAGATTTAATTTAGCTTGAACAAAGGGTTTGAAAAAGGGTTAGCATTGGATGGCGGGGCTTTAGAGGTAGTAAACTTAATCAAAAAATCTATTTGTGTTAAAACTGAAGCTTTTCTTCTTTCAAAACTTCTATTTATTTTGGACAGGGTTGAGTGAGTCGGCTGAAACGGGTATCCAGTACAGATAATGCACTGCTAGTGGTGCTTTAAACTGAATACTAAAGACCATGCTAAAGATCAAAAACACAATGGCAATGTTAACATGCTAATGTTATGCAGGTACGGTTAGCGTGTTAGCATGCTAACATAAGCTAATTAGCACTAAACACAAAGCACAGCTGCAAAGTCAGAATCAACAAAGCTAATTTATCCTTTCGTCACTCCTCAACCCCCAGAAATGTAGTTTAACAAGTTCAGAGAAATACAAAATTTTAAAGCATATAGAAGATGAAAGCAGCAGATGAAAGAAAGGTCAATAATTATGGTCAATGATGAATAAGTATGGTAGATCAGCATACTTGTCAACCTAACCTAACCAGGATATTGGGGATCAGAGAATGTTGCTGTGTATGGAGTCATTTTTGTGGCTGAGATCAGAGTCAGAAGGATGGGGGAAGGGGGCATTGAAAAATAGGACCCTCAGGAGAATCTACAAACAGTACCATTGTATGAAAAGTAAATGAAGGAAGAAAAACACACTGTTCAAAGACAGTGCATCCCGCACAGATAATTTTGTCCAGAAAACAACAACAAAACAAACAGATTTTATTAATCTAGAAAGCCAGCCAAGGAATAGAAGACAAGGAACTAGGAACTGAACTATTTTGTTTGGATTTGTCATATTTTTCTTATCAATTATATCAGAGATGCTTTCACACATATTTACTGATAAGACTACAAAGGCAGTTCATCGTCTGACACTTTGGCAGATAAATTAGGCCAATGGTACTGTCTGATAAAAAGAGCTAGGATAAATACCAATGCATGATGATGATTTAATTTCCAAATCTGTAGTACACACCTCCTAGGGTTACTAGTGTGAGATTATTGGTGAGCCTAATTAATCAAACATGTCTTAATCACATCAAAAGTTGTATTTGTTGTTTTTTTTTTAATGATTTTTTAAAATTTGGCATAGATATGAAATTGAAGAGCAGTGAGGCAACACTCTGCATACATGAAAGGTGTTTGATGTTGGAGCGGTATCTATTAACGCCTCTGTCAACTAAAGCCACACAAACTGTGTACTTTGGGCTCTGGAAAAAAGCCTGATGATCAGACTTGGTCCTGTTTGCAGAGATAATTACATTTTCTCATGAGGGATTGGCTTTAAGGCTTCCTCTTCTTTGGCATGAGATTTGTTCAGGCAACGTGAGATCATACTGGCAACCCTGTATAATGTTAATCAACAATGTAAAATTATGTTTTAGTTCATCATTTAGGATCACTTATATCCATGATTTTGCTAAAAATCTCTTGCAAATCATGAGAAAGTTTCAGAGCCACAGGGATGCAGAGCGTCCCCGTAACCATAGTAAGTTACTCTCACTGCTGTCTGCGAGAGAGAGAGAGAGAGAGAGAGAGAGAGAGAGAGAGAGAGAGAGAGAGAGAGAGAGAGAGAGAGACTCTGCGCTGCTACCAGAACAGCTGCTGACTAAGATTACTCTGCAGGTATAGGAATAAATTACAATAGATATGTATATATTTCTCACTTTGCCCCTGATGGTCTGAAACTTGTCTGTCTGTGCACACTGCTACGTTATCAGTTATGAATTTGAAATTGACTTGTGACATGAAAGCATGTGAAAAGTGTCAATTGGCCACCCAGTGTGAAGACATCTGAATCTAAACCAGGATCACCAAGTCAGCAGGCTTCATCTGGGGACCATGAATGATATACAAAGCTTCATGGCAGTCCATCCAGCTATCCAGCTAGAGATAATTCAGTAAGCACTAAAGCGGTGGACCAATCGACAAAAAACTGACAATGCCATCCCTAGAGCAATAGCATGCCAAAAAACAACAATATGTCTTTGCAAAACACTGTTCCAGGTACTCTGGTAAGGATCCTTTTTCAATGCTGTGAGCACCAAAAATGAATTTCCATTCATCTCCTCTGTATTGGTGCAGAGGCAGAAATCTCAGAGACAAATATCTCAAAATCTGGACAAAACAAAACCAAAGAAATTCTAGGCTAGATAGATAGAGTCAGAAATGATATGTTTTGTAACTTGGATGAAGTGCCCATTCAAGATTGGAGACACTCTATTTGAGCAAACAAACTATTTGTATCTTACCATATCTTCCTGGAACTTAAATAAAACTCTGGAGAAAAAAGAGCCTTGAAGAGCTTTTCTAAAAAGGCTGAAAGGGCATTTACTTTCTCTCTGTTGCATCCATTCCAGGACCTGCATGGGTGTATCTCAGGCTGTTTCACTCACAGAAAAGATGGATTACACTAAGCCTGACTCCAGCATCTCCCAGTTGGAAAAGAAGCCTGACAGTCTCGATAAGGCTAGCTGGGGTCTCACTGCTAGAAATACACGTGAAAGGCCTACAGTCTTTGTGACAGTCAAATGAAGAGGATTAACAGTATAAACACATAATATGACAAAGGAGTACTTACATGTGAGTCAAATATTTGAGAGGTTCAAACATCCTCCGTTGTATGTTTTCAATTTCAATTCCTTCAATGCTCCTAGAAAATATACAGACATAGTGATTTTGTCCAAGTCAGATGCCACACCCACAATACAGTTTTGATTTATAATTGTTATTATAATTATAAATGTCTTTGAAAGCACAAATATTTCCACCAAAGGTTCTCCCAAGCAACTAGCCATTCAAAGACTAAATGAGAAACAGTTATACTTTCCCAAATACATTTTCTTCTTTTTTTTATTTGTTCATACAGCTGAGCTCATGCTTGTATCTCATGCTTGACCACCATTCAGCAAATGCTGTGACCCTCACAAAATGGGCCAACATTGACAGAACAATGATTTCCTCCTAGCATGTCAGGGTCTTTTTTTATTTTCATTATCCAGGCCATCACACATGTCTGTCTGTATGTTTGCTGCTCTTCTGAACCCTTAAACATGTAACAGGAAAGCTCTTCAAATGCCCTTTTAACACAAACAGGGATATTTTTTTATGTGTAACATGTTTTGGATTAGTTGCAAGAGTCATTCAGCATTTAATAATGTATACTTACAATGACTTCAGTTTATGCAACTTGTCAAAGTGGTCAACTTGGAGCTCCACAATGGGATTGTATGATATATTCCTAAAAGACAAAGATAAGAAACGCAGTAATGAAAATCAATTAGATAACATCAAAATAAATCCGATTTACTAATTACATGAAAGTACATTACACATTATGTTTAGTAGGACAAGGACATAGTAAAGCACCCTACAGTGTTAAAGTTCCTTGATAATAGATGTAACATTAGTGACAATGTTTCCCTACTACTGCTTGAAGTTACAATCTTTAAGATGGCCAACTTTTATTTTGCAATTGTCAATCACTGTATTTACAATCAGTAATTATCTCTGTATATAGTAGTATTTTTTTGATAGTGGTGGAGTCTGCTATTAATGTGTTGAATTCAGATTGCCTAACTTAGAATGAGGAAATAACAGGAAAATGAAATAGCTTGTAACCCAGCAAAATCTGATTTTATTGATTACAGCCTTGCTCTGTTTACTTTTCACTGGCTTTACACTGTGTCAGAGCTGTATTAAATTACTGCTAATGCAAACAGAACATCCCTCAGCCGCTTCACATTAATAGCATTCAACTGGGGAATCACAGGGTGGCTTTAATTGTGAAGCAGCCACAGGAAATGCAAAAATGCCTCTACATAACAAAACTATGGTAATTTTTTTTTCATTTTATTAAAGCAGTAATGAATCAAGAAGGAACCGCCATAGTGCACTGTTAGATGAAGAGTTAAAGGAGACAGCCTGCACACTTCAAACTTCTCAGAAAGGTAACTTTACTGTGCCCTGTTATGTGACCAAAATGTGAAGGATTACAACTTTAAAGGATATTTACCAGCACTCACTGAAAGTACATATTAGGGGTGAACTTTTGTGTTATACAACAACCTTACTAATGACTCCATTGTCCGTTCCTGACAGAATCAAAAGATAAACCCTAGTAACTATTCATGGAATAAGTATGCTTGCATGCATAACTGTATATCCCAGTGTATTTGTGTAAACAACACTCACAGTTGGAGCAAATCCCCCAGTAAGACAAAGAGATTGGGAGGGATCGCCACCAGTCTGTTGTTGGATAGATCCCTGCACGCAGAAACAAATCCACATCGGTTCCCCAAAAACACAAAACAACAAACAAATATTGATGTACAACACTGGGTATCTGACAGATGCACACAGATCTTGAAAAAGAAATGCAACATACAGGGGGCGGATTGCATAACATACACTGAAAACAACAGCCTCGCAATACTGTCTCTATGAATTGAGAATGTAATGCACATTTTTGATGCACCCAAGGTTTTCATAAGTCCCAATAGCCAGTGCATGAACTTGAACTATATTTGGCTGTGGTTACATGGGTGAATGGAGACAGCTATGGTTACAATGTTCATAGCTGAAGGAAAGTGTGAGCTTTTACAGTCAATAACAAGTGAGAGTCTCAGCCCTCACAAAATCTGTCGTGGCTGCACGGCATTAGGGTTCTCCTGAGGATGCATGCAGTGTACGGTTCATCACTTCTGAGGGGAAGGGGAAGTGGGGTCAAGATCACTGTAACTATCTGAACAGATTAAGGTTATGGGTGAGCTGCATTTACTTCAAATGCTTCCTTCTTTCTTTCCTTACCTACACTCTCATTCTTACTCACCTCCATGTTTGCTAAAATCTGAATCTTACTCATCAGCGACAACATTTATATCAAAACAACAACCAAAAAAGTGTTTAAAGTATGTGAGCCTCTAAGATGTCCACTGATGTTAAAGATTATAGTTAATAAAGAACCAGTGAGTAGGATTTAGTGGCATCTAGTGGTGAAGTTGCAGACTGCAACAAACTGAATACCACTCGTCCTCCAAACATAGTAGGAGAAACTACTGTGACTGCGCAACTCACAAAAGGCACATTTGGACAGCTGTGGTGACGGCCTTTGAATGGCCATCTACATTGTGTGTACTATACCAGTAGTTACAGTATACAAGTCTTTCTAAGCTAAGTAGTTGCTCCTTATTGACACTACTTTACAGTTACAAGGACTGTTTTCTTTTTTATTTATTCATCCTCGAACCATTTATCGTTCCTTGATTATTCATACCATACTGTTTATGTTTATTACTACTGCATAAGCTTAATGTCAGTAATGTGTTCTACATTTATTCCTTTTAATCTAGTAACCACATTCACATAAGTACATTCTAAACAACCAGCAATAAATAAGTGGCATGCAAATGTGTGTGTGTGTGTGTGTGTGTGTGTGTGTGTGTGTGTGTGTGTGTGTAAACATAAACAGTTTTGAGAAACCTTCCATTATCCAGATTCCTTACCGCCCCCATCAAATAAAGTGCAGGCAAATTGTTTTCCCTGAATATTAATGTTGATTATTATTCTGTGTTATGGCCTGAATGCCAAATAAAAGATTTAATTTGGACAGCTGCAATATCATTACCATTAGGAGCAACAACAAAAAAAGCCATGTGAACAGAAATTATATATTTTTGAGTGTTAAACAAATGCAGCAGTTAGAAATTTGACATTCAAACTTCAATCAAGCCTTGTTATTGATGACAATCAGAAATTTCAAAGGAAATAAGTTAGATTTCTTTGAAAGATAGTCCTGTTTGGTGCTTCTGTGCCATTTTCTTTACTGCAGTTTGCAGAGAAGTTATCAAGGCCATCAAGTCCAAGTGATTGCGGTACTTGGACTACATGTGGAGGACCTGGCTGAATCCCTGCTTGATTAGATGTGTTGTTGGGAAAGCAAGAAGAAGCAGCCTGGTCTTCTCCCAGAGAGCCTTGTAACACTGGGCATATTTAACATGTTGCCAGAGATGCTCCTGGGTAGTGGGATTGCATTTGGTCAAGGGCTTCATCACCCAAACAGGAACACTGAGATTCAGGAGGTCCCTGAAGCAGATCTAATGTCGGCCTTAACTGTCCACAGGTGGACGGTGTAAAGGACTTACAATGTCAAGAATGTTAGAGGGGCTAATACTTTTTATTTTAATACTATACTATAAATCTTTATTGAAGATATTGAGGACCTTTTTATTGCATTATTTTCTTTTAAAATACACTGTTTGGTTGACTGTATGTTTTTGAACTGACTAAACATCATATGTTGCAGCATGTAACTTTTAGCATAACATATTGCAGAATTAATTTAGAAGATTTTTGAATGGAGTTTGCTCAGACATTTTTTATGCTATACCAGGGAAATTAAACCTGGGAAATGGATCCGGTTTTGGGACTTCACATTGCCTTTTATTCATAGACTTATTAAAGACGTTTAATGAAGACTTTAAAGGTCATGACTAGACAAAACCGTTTTATGTTGCTGTAAAGAAAAGTCGCATCGGTGTCTCAGCTGGAATTGAGCAGGTTGATGGCATTGCTGTGACTCAGCTTGTCAGGCAGCAAGTGTTTGGTTTTACAATAGCGGTAAAATTAAGATGGAAAATTTAAACACCACATAAATCCCTGGCAGTTCCTGGTACTTGCCTGTGCTGCCTACAGTATATGTAATATATATGTGAACAGTCATTAACCTAAACCTTCACGACAATATACAATACTGCCTACTGCCGAAATCCCACTTTTCATGCCATGTTAATTTTTGAAATTTGATATACTGATATATCAAATTATCATCAATCAAATGATATACAACGGACAATTTGACCTAATGGTGATGAAACAAGAAAAAAACTAATGAGTCTCCAAGTTGGAATGATTCCACAATTTCTTGTGTACAGTTTTTTCCTTGTAGTGGTTCTAATAGAAAGTTCCCAGGCTCACTTAAAAGTCAGCAGAATTCATCCTCTGGAGACCATGAACACTCACACCAACTTTAATGGAAATCCAACCTTTAGATTTTAAAGAAACTTTATTATGATGAAAAAGTTGGCCAAGGGGAAATTTCGATCTGACGAAAGGTCAGACACTCACCACAATAATTAAAAAAACTAAGAATCATCCTGTGGGAGCCAAAAATATTTCTAAAATCTACCCAGATGTTCTGAGATATGTTGCTTTAGAACAAAGCATTCGAAAACACCTACTAACTGAAACACAAAAAAGCCAAAGCCCCAAATAACCATCCTCAGGCCTCACAGCTAGTGGGGCACAAAGGAAATGGTCTTCATTAAAATGTATCTGTTCAATGAAGCCATTATTCTAAATGTGTGATCATTAGACTTGTGTCCTTGATTGGTGTCAGTTGTTGCTTGCAGCTATATTTACCACTTAGACAGGAATTCCGTCTGAAGGTTTACATACTTTCAGCATATAATGTTAAAAACCATGCCCTCAACATCATTTTTGGGAAACAATTTAAGCAGAAATCAAGTTGTTCTAAACTTTTCTCTCAGCATTGTTTTCTCATTTCCTCCTCTTCTGCTGGTGTTTGTAGAGTCGTTGCTTGTAACACATGTTCAGCATTTTTTTCCTATACAGTTTTGCTTACATAATCAAACAAAAATAACTTACAATTCTCCAAGCTTTTGGAGGACTGAGAAAGCCTGTTCGTGTATATTGCTGATCTCGTTCCGCTGCAAAACCCTGGCAATAAACGCAAAAATAGAATCACATTACTACTTTTTCACCTTTTTAATCCCATTTAATGAATCAATGCTACAACGATTTCATGCTTAATTCCATGATGTAATTTAAATTTTGAGAAAGTGAGGCTGATTTGGATGGCTCTCACAGAAATTCAAGCAAACAACAAATACATTTTAAGCGAAAACATTGCCTTTGCTGTGGACTGAAATATGTAAATGTATACTTACAGAACTGTCAGCATACTGCATGAGTGTAATGAGACATTCCCAATAGTTTCAATGAGATTTCCCTCCAAATCCCTGCAAGAACAGTTACGAAATGCACACACAGAGGAAATGTGCACACACACCACACAAGCACAAACACACAGACAGAATAAATTCATCAAAAGACATGTCACTTCTATGACAAGACAGCTTTTGATTTCTTGACATCCTACTTACAGCCAGTTCAATCTTGGCATTTCTCGACAGATGTCATCCAGCTTTGTCAAAGAGTTGTTCAACAAAACCCTGTCAATCATTAACACACAGTGTAACAAGGTGTAGTGCATTCTCCTTCAATGTTCAAAGGGGGAACACTCATTCAATCTAAACTTAACAAAGAGTCGTAATACCAGAACTTTTGATGATTTGAGAGGACATCACAACAAAGTAAAGCCAAGCAAAACAGAATAAGAATAAAACCTAAAATAAAAACTCACAGTAAAACAAGGGAGTTTAGTCCAGAAAAGGTCATGGAGGATATTTGATGGATGTTGTTATTTTCCAGGATCCTACAACAAAAAAAACACTGTTTATACTTGCAGCCTCATTTGCAGAATATTGATTCAGAAAAAACAGCATTAAGAGAGATATGTGTGATGTATTACCTGTATGTAACAAAAAACAAAAACAATGCAAGAAACAACGTTTATCTCAAAACTGACCTTCTTTGCCTATAGCAAAGCAATACTTACAGTACATAAAGTAAAACATCCTATATTATTTTATATTCCTTTGGTGCAGAACTTTCTTTCAGTAGAGAATAAACATACAACCACTCCAGCTTATGCAGGTCCCGGAACACCCCCGGCATCAGGACAGATATCTTGTTGTAGCTCAGATATCTAAGAGAGGAAAGAGTTTAGAAGGTTACCTGAAGAGGATGCTCTCTGACATGTTAAATAAACTAATGGGAAAACCTGCCCCCTGTTGCGTTTATTACTATACAATAGTCTCAACAGTATGCTGTATTCTGACTGCATTTATACTTACTGTTTACCTGATGTTCGTTACTGGTAACCAGAGGTGGGAGTAAGACACACATGTGCAAGTCTCAAGCAAGTCTCAAGTCTTAACCTTCAAGTCTCAAGCAAGTCCCAAGTCATTTTTGTGAGAGTCAAGTCAAGTCAAGACAAGTCATAGTTTAGGTCAAGCAAGTCACAAGTCAAGTCATAGGAATATAATAAGCTGGATGACAACTGTCTTAAAGTGCTGATAGCTCATGTTTTCAATGCATAGTATTCCATTAAATACATAGGTAACATTGCAATTAAAAATATTTTTTAATCACAATCAATTAAAGAAGTTAACATTTGAAAATGTTGTCCATGCTTTTCTACTAAGCTGTCATCTCTAATTTCTCATTAAATATACAGCCCCTCACTGTTATGTGGACATGTACAGTATGTGGTAAAGTAAAACCATAGTCTGTATTAGGCTAAATTAGTGCATGAATAATGTCTATCAAACATAAAATTAGAGTTGCAATGAGCTTCCAAGGACCCCTAGGAAGGGTAGGCTATGTTAATTCACTGTACATTGTACTAGGGCTGCAACTAACAGTTATTTTGGTTGTTGACTAATCTATCGATTATTTTTTCATTTAGTCGATTAGTCCCGATTATTTTGGCATTTACTAAAATAGAACAAAACAGAAAGATGCATCATTTCAGAAGCTGCAGGTTAAACATTTTTATAACTTTGGGAACAGCTGCTTCCAGTTCCATCTTCCAAGTGCTCCGCTCCGGCCACTCTACAACCGCTGCAGTCAGTGATGCGTGCGTCACTTGGTTAGATTACAGGTTGCCTGGTTCGCCCACATGCAACAAGAAATATCCGATCGAATTTTTGATAATTCACATATTAATAAAGACAGCAATGACTTGTCGAATCATTTCATGCAAGTCTAAGTCAACTCTCAAGTCATGACTAGCAAGTCAAAGTCAAGTCAAGTCTTTTATCACTGTTAATCAAGCAAGTCACAAGTCCTCAATCTGGCGACTTAAGTCTGACTCGAGTCCAGTCACTCGACTCGAGTCCCCCCATCTCTGCTGGGTAACTATATGCATTCTACTATTTCACAATGTGTGTACATACAACCAAGCTTTGATAATGTCAGGAAACAAGGATCCATTACATTGCCAAAAGTATTTGGACACCAAAACATTAAACCTGTATGTGATTGTTGAACATGTCATTTTAAAGCTACAGGGATTCAGGCGTTCTATAATATTTTAGAACCTGGCGTCAGGGATTTGTTCCCATTCAGCCACGAGAGCGTTAATATCTAAATAGTCATTAGAAAAATTTACATAGAAGTTGACTTTTCTCTGAGCAGGATAAAAGACAGACATCTGTGAATAAGACAATTGATTGTGAAGCATGAATGAAACTCCAGTGGCCTGCCTCAGCTAACGCTTTGCTTCATTCTTTGTACATACACAGAAGTACAGCCTATACAGCTGCTTGCCTTATTCCTAAACAGTACGCATAACAAAGGTGAACAAACTTACAGCCTTGTTAAATTATACAGCCCTCTGAATGCGTCAGGACTCACATCTCGGATCCTGTTGTGCTGGAGATATCTATGTAGAAAAAGCACAAAACTGTTTGTGAAGCATTTGAATTCCAAATGAACAATGAGAGAAAAATGTAATAACTCTGTAATAAGTCTGTTGGTTTTTTTAAAACAGACACACAATTTTTTAATTTGGTTGTTTGAGTGAGAAATAGATGTTGTTTACAAAAAGTAAAAAGCTTAAATAGGGATATTAGCCCAGCTGAGAGAAATTAGTATTATATCATACAACCAGTGTCTGTCAAATACCTTGAATTCTTCTTTTGTAGCACATACTGTGAGCTCAACAAACCTCCTCTGACAGCTTTGTTTTGTCTATTTGTGTATTTTACACACCTGGCAATTCATTCTGATATTTGTTTATGCATATCTTAGGCAAGTTCTCAATCTGGTCAGACCTTTAGTGCAGCAACTGAAGGCTGACAGCCTGACACAGCCAAATGGTTCAGACCTATTCTCCTGCTGCCAGTCTGTGGCACTGTGAGAGGTTGATAAACAACGCAAGTCTGCAATGAATGAATCTGTGCGCAGGACAAAACAATCACTTTTGGCAGCGTTCCCAGTAGTCATCATAGCCTCACACAGATGGGCTTTGTAGTTGTGAAACTTGTGTGTTGTATTTATCACTCAGTGGCTTGTCATTATCTCGGCTCTGTGGTATCATGGAGGTGAAGGCATTGTGCTTTTCTGAATGAATAGTGTAGGCTCTCACGCATGCTAATAATTTATTAGAAGTTTCACAATTTTAGAATTTATTTTTTGGTTGGGAATGACACGCAGCAAGGACTCATCCTCGGTACACAGGGTGCTGTTAAATCTAGGTGAGCTATCAGGATGCCCCACACATGCATGTTTAATCTTGAAAGGTAACTTCAAACTACAATATATTATACAGTGGGTAAAATAAGTATTTGAACACTTCACGATTTTTCTCAGTAAATATATTTCTAAAGGTGCTATTGCCATGAAATTTTCACCAGATGTCGGTAACAACCCATGCAATCCACACATATTACACAGAAATTAAAGTTATGTGTAATAAAATGGAATGACACAGGGAAAAAGTATTGAACACGCTTACTGAAATTTATTTAATACTTCGTACAAAAGCCTTTGTTGGTAATGACAGCTTCAAGACGCCTCCTGTATGGAGAAACTAGTCGCATGCATTGCTCAGGTGTGATTTTGGCCCATTCTTTTGCACAAACAGTCTTCAAATCTTGAAGTTTCCGTGGGCCTCTTCTATGAACTCTGATCTTTAGTTCTTTCCATAGATTTGGATTGGATTGGATTCAAGTCAGGTGATTGGCTGGGCCATTCTAGCAACTTTATTTTCTTTATCTGAAACCAATTGAGAGTTTCCTTGGGTGTGTGTTTGGGATCACTGTCTTGCTGAAATGTCCACCCTCGTTTCATCTTCATCATCCAGGTAGGTGGCAGCAGATTTTTATCAAGAATGTCTCGGTACATTTTTCCATTCATCCTTCCTTCAATTATATGAAGTTTTCCAGTGCAGTATGCTGAAAAACAGCCCCACACCATGATGTTCCCACCTCCAAACTTCCCTGTTGGTATGGTGGTTTTGGGGTGATGTGCAGTGCCATTTGACCTCCAAACATGCTGTGTATTATGGCATCCAAAGAGTTGAATTTTGGTCTCATCTGACCAGACAATATTCGCCCAGTATTTCAGACAGGCTTGTCTAAATGTTGTGCAGCAAACTTTAAACGCGCTTCAACATGCTTTTTCTTCAGCAATGGAGTCTTGCGCGGTGAGCGTGCATAAAGGCCATGGCGGTTGAGTGCATTACTCAATGTTTTCTTTGAAACAATTGTCCCTTCTAATTCCAGGTCTTTCTGAAGCTCTCCACAAGTGGTCATTGGCTCTTGGACAACTCTCCTGATAATTCTTTTTACTCCTCTGTCAGAAATATTGCAAGGAGCACCTAGTCGTGGCCGGTTTATGGTGAAATTATATTCTTTCCACTTCCGGATTACGACCCCAACAGTGCTCACTGAAACATTCATAAATTTAGTAATCCCAAGTAACCAATGCTATCAGTATGTTTTGCAACAATAAGGTTGCGAAGGTCTTGAGAGAGCTCTTTGGTTTTACCCATCATGAGATGTTTCTTGTGTGACACCTTGGTGATGAGACACCTTTTTGTAGGCCATCAGTTGGGACTGAACCAGCTGATATTAATTTGCACTGACAAGTGGCAGGACTGCTTTCTAATTACTGATAGATTTCAGCTGGTGTCACGTGTTCAATACTTTTTCCCTGTGTCATTTCACATTATTACACATAATTTATGGACATCTATGGTTTGATTTCTTTGCATGTGTGGATTGCATGGGTTGTTACCGACATCTGGTGAAAATGTCATGTCAATAGCACCTTTGAAATATATTTACTGAGAAAAATGGTGATGTATTCAATAGTTATTTTACCCGCTGTATATGATGCTTGAATAAATTACTGAATAAAGGACCAATGAAAAATAACAATTGGGTAGGAGAGAAATAAAAATTGGAATGTAAATTAAATAAAACAAAAATAATAAAATATATGTACTGTATTTAATATAAATACATAATACAATAATATATATTCAAATAAAATGCATTGCATAGTATATGGAAACTCACAGTTTCTGTAGGTTCTGGTACTTAAAGAATGTGTTTGCCCTCAGTATCTGAAGCTGGTTCATTTGTAGGGACCTGCAGGACAGAAAAAGGCTCAAAATCAGAATACAGAAGGACGTTTACACCATCAACGATACATGATTCAGTACTGCTGCATTTGAACATCTAGCCGGCTCCTTCAGATTGTCATGGTTATAATTTAAGCATGTGAGTTTAAATTATAAAGTGTCAAAATGTCTAATTAATGGGGTTTCCAAGCCTGGTTCGAATCTATTCAACATTAAAATGACCATCTCAACTTCAAATATATAAAACATGACACCATTACTGCAGAACACTTTCCCCAACAATGAATATTATCTTTATTTTACCCTATATATTTCAGGCGGTGAGTCTATATCTAAAAGAACTTTTACACTCACAGACTTTTTTTAAGGTAAAAGAAAAGTTAAAATAAGGTAGGCAGATGTAAAATATATAACAACTTTAGTCAATTAGCAGAAAATTAAATCTGTAAACATGCAGTTGATCAAGCAGTTCATTACAAAGCTTTTAACGGATTAAATCTCGATTAAAGGCTCATCCACTCACAATGACATGAGAAACATTTGGACGTCAGTTTTTGGGGCAGTGTAAGATTTTCTTAACACTGTCTCTTTGGGTTTACCGTTCTCTAACATATCCTCTGATATGACTGATGATGAGATGCAATTTCTATGGCAACACTAAAGTTAACAAACATGCTTTCCTATCAAAACTGAATGTTCCAAGTCAGATTCAGATTCAGTCTTAACTCGCTAATTTTGGTCTGACAACACAATAACAACAACCACCTGTTGGTGATTAGATGCACTATGTGAGATTTCATCATTAGCATAATCAACACCCCTACAATTGCCATACAAAGCCTACCCGTTCAACTTCACTGTAGGTAAGTTTTATTTACATCAATGAAAAAAAACAACAATAAAGCCTGCATACTTACTCACTGCCACAAAAACCTTTTTAATAAGGACCAACGTAATGCGGTGACAGTGGATTTCAGAGAGGCAAATCACCCAGTGGCCTCTCTCAGATACATTGGCATCCAAGAAGAAGAGATAATTGATATACCCTTGTTTCCACTCTTCAGACTCTCCCCCCTAGCAATTTGAATCAAGAACTTAAGATCAAACATATTCTCTAGAATAAAATGGTAGCAGGATTATGATTGTTCTTCCCACATGAATGTAGATATTTGAAGGCCTACATACTGTATAAGCCTATATACGTGTGTATGGATATGTATATGTATTTTCCCTATGGGAAAATAAATGATAAAATTGGTTTCATATTTTAATCGTACTAATACTAATAGGTGTGTCTTTTACCTTATTGGAATCTGATCCATACATGTTTTTAATTAATTCATATATGTTTTGATATATGTGTTGATGGATCTGATATAAATGTCTGCATTGATATTTTGAAGAACACTATTATTTATCTCTGTACTTTGTTCAACGTATTTTTTATTACGGACTGAAATGTATTGTTAATTGTTCTCGGAGGATTATTATCCTGGCTGTAATGATTAACCAGACCTGCCAGCACAGAGTTTGTCAGCCTACTGATGTGCATAATGTATAAATATGGGAGTGGTTTCAAGTCTTTCAAACACTCTGATCTGACAATGATCCATCTAGGATTGTCGCTATCATTACTAAAAAGATGGTTGTGGCAGTGAGTTAGTGTGGAGCCTGTATTGTTTTTTTATTTATACTGTTTTCTGACAGCCTTGCACCTGAGTGATGTGCGTATAACTGCTTCCCTTCTACAAGTTAATTCCCAAACATATTAACAAAAAGTAAAGAGACTTCACCCTGTGGAACTTCAAGTCCTGATTTTGGCAGTCAGGAGACAAAAAACGACACGTTTAGCAGTGTCAGTAGTTGTAATAGAGGACCCAAAATAATACAATGTGGCAATAAAGAATAGAGTCAAATAAAAAAAATGGTTTAACGTAAGATTAGATGTCAATTAATGTCTTTCTAAAGCAAAGCGTCCATGACTAATATGAGAGTCAGTCATGTGAGTCATGGAGACACAAGATGGGATAATATTATGTATGTAGGAGATTTTACACTGTCGGGTGCAACAGAGGATGATACTGGACCTATATGAACACCTTAAGGCAGCTGTCAGAGTCAGAGACAGAGTGTGCCAATAAAAACCATAAGAACCCAAGAAACTGGCAAATTATCAAGCCATAATTATGATATGTGGTCAACATATGTATCTTAGTCATATCTTTTTTCATTTAATTCGTAATAGGAGGAAACTAGTGAATGCCACATATTCATACATAACTCACTCTGTATCCTTGAAGCCAGTACTTGCTCCAGTCAAACAGAACACTGTCTGTTGAAAGCAGCTATGAAAATATTGATATATACATATATAATATTGAAATATTATATGACCTCCAATCTTTCAAGCACAATTTCCAGAATAATAATTGTCTCATTTTCAGGCCAATACAGTCATTACAGTGAAAACAATTCCTACCAACTGAGTTCATTCCACTTCAGTCAGGATGCAGGCACATTTTATTCTAAAAGGTCACAGATAAGGTCCAATTTCACTAAAGCTTGTGTAGTACATGGAACGGGTAACAGATGTAAAATATGGTGTAGCATTTGCATGGAACTGAAAACTGAAGTCCCATGATAGCAAACTGGGCCTGTGGGCTAACACAGATTGATAGCTGTCTGGTCACACAGAGTAATAACTAAACACCCAAACATTGTTTTTATTGCTTTATTATTATTTTAATAGAAAGTGCCACCTACACATAGTCATACTTAATTAAAATAAAAATCAAAGGAAAAATATGTTTACTGTCAATATAGAATGATGAAACAATCTCAAGGAAGAAAAGACCCCAGCAAATCAAAACTACTGAAATAAGAAAACATTTTTTTCTAGTTCAGGTGTTCATGGCAACCCATCTAACAGTCGTAGAAATATTTCAGTCCAAACCAAAGTTGTGGAATAATTGACTGGCCAACAGAACTAAACATTCTCTAAAACAGAGAAAAGGGTCTGTTGTTTGATACATCATTACCAATCTTATAGACCACCATCAGGCCACACATTGGCTACTTCTATACAGCAATCTTTCCATCCACCAGAACCTTGTTGCCTGTGAAGGTCATAAATGACTTTATAACTCTGGCTGGAAGTCTGAACTATTGTGCCCTTTCGTTTTAAATCAAAATGTACACATGTCTCTTGCTTTGGTCACCTGCACTTTAAACACACCAAGAGAGACAGGCTCTTGGAAAGTTTTAGTCAGTGCGGTTCAGAGAGGAGAAAAAAGTGGGGCAACTACAAAACAACAAGAAAATGATGCTGTCCCAATGAGCAGATACATTATAACAGATAATGAGGATAGGCCAATTTGCCTGGTAATTGTGTGATTTGATCTATAGGCAATGCCTTTTTGAGCTGGAAAAAATATTAATAATATTAATATATTAAATATTTTTGGTAAACACAATCGTTGCCTCTATTGGAAAATATTTGGTTCAATCTTTACCAAATTCGGTACCATATACTGTACAAAATCTACAAGTTTGCTTTTTGAAAGCACCATTTCTCTGTAATTGGCCATCAAAATGTTGAAGGGGTGACCTCATGCCCACACAAAACTCTTTAATACAGAATTTGACAGCATCCAACATTTTGGTACACAAGTTCTCTATTAGCATGGGCACCATGCAGCTGATGCAGCAATTACATGTAGGAAATGCAAATATTCCAGGTCACATAAAAACAGCCTAAATTGACTTAAAAGGGGTAATGTACCTCCATCAGACACAAAAAAACTTTGTAATGACTACAAGTTCATACAACCATGTCAAATGAAATTTAAGAAGACAAATTATTTTAAACTATTGTCTCAAAATAATTGAAATCTTGCATTATACACTTTTGACAAAAGACTGTGTGGTGCTGGCTATTCAAGGACATACACTAATCATCAGTGGAATGTGAAGGGGTTGCATTAGTCACTTCCACTCCCCCCAGACATTCATCTATAATTCTGGCTTCAAGTAAGTTACTCACTCACTCATCTTGTGGCAATGGCAGCTACTCACAGTGATAGGGTGGCGCTTTGGAGGGGGGTGGGGGTGTGGCCCGCCTGCTACAACACTTCTCACATGCTCTGACAGTCACAGTCGAGGATGAAGGCTTCCTGGGGATTGCTTGAGCTTTAGGATATTGAAAAAATAAGGGGATATTTTCTACTCACATCATGGTGACATTCATCGCCACCACAGGGATATCTTGAAGCTGTGCGCCGTCACAGTCCAGCTCCAGGTCTCTGCACTGGCAGAGCTCAGGAACGACACCCAGCACTGGAGAGATGGAGGGGAGAGGGAAGGGACATCAGAGGATACGTCAATCAACGGGTCATTCTGCGGAGTGTCAAAGTGTCAAGAGTGGAGCTGTTTGGAAGAATGGCAACCTAGTTCTCCTGGAAGAAAATGCAAACCTGAGATTTAAGGAAAGCAGAGTGTGTAAGCAGAGTTTATTGGCTTGGAGGATTAACACAGGATGGCAATAGTTAATAACTGAACCAGGTCTCTCAAGATTGATTATTGAATATTCCTGGGTTATGCCAACTTTGATTATCTTTCATTAAATCCCAGTTTAGCTATGCAAGACGTGATGAAATGGAGCAGATACGATTGTTTAACCAGGCCTTCCTGGCTCAAATGAAAGAAAGTTTTATTTGAAGACACATCAGAATTAACCACAAGGGGCATTTAATGAAAGGCTCCTCCTTGACAGGCACTACACCTTTAAGCCGTGCTTAAGAGGCTGTTGGAAACTAGATTTTTACTTTAGTATTTTGTTCATGAATGGGATGACAAGAAGACCACAGTAGTAGTTGCAGTAGATACTTGCAGTGGTTGACACTACAACTCCCTTTTATTTAAAATACTATTTTATTAATTTCATACCAGTACTAAACTGTTCTTTTGAGTGGCTCTTTTGGGCTCAATTTCTTTATTTATAAATGTTTTATCATCTCACACTGCGTTTCCCATAAAACAGCTCTATTATTATTGTCATGTATCTGCTGATGTGAGTACTGCTTTGCTATACTAAATCTCAATGAGTGCACATTTGGGCAACACTTATTTCTACCAACATTACTTTTATTATATGGACAGCCCCAGTGGAAATAAATGCTTAACTCTGCGGGACCATGCAAGAGCTCCAACATCTGTATTCAGACAATAATAGGAGAGTTCCTGGAAATAGTAATAGAAAAGTGCCTGTCCTTATTACGAAATGATGTTGCAATGTCAATTTAGAGTCATTTGAAATCCTGCAAATTAATCTTCATGGAATTAATAAAAATAATACATGTCATTACCAGAAGAGGAAGGAAAGCATATCAAGGTTATCAAAATCTATTTGTATGAACGATACAAAATGTACTGACATATAAATACAACCCTGTATCTGACATATTTATGGTTGCTTAAGCTTGATCAAGGCTGATAAATGGGAAAAAAGTACTGTAGCATTTAGAGAGTTTCCTAAAACAAGTTTAACAGGTTGACTAGGTAATGTTTTTTGGAAAATTCATTGCAAACCATTAGAAGAGTGAATGATGAAAGAAAGGATGTTTTGCTGCCTTTTCATCTTTACTAGTTAACGTTAGCTAGCTATATAATTATTTAATTCACTGTACTGCTCAAAGGCTACTGGCAGCTACAGGCAGCTCCCGGCAACTATTAAGGAGGAATGCATGAGTTGGCATTGTGAATCATTTAACACAACTTAAAAGGTCCAGTGTGTAATATTCAGGATTATCTATTGGCAGAAAGTTAATATTGATAGGAATGTTTTTATTAGTGTATCATAACCTGAAAATAAGAATTGTGTTTTCGTTATTTTACAATGAGCAGTTTTTATCTACAGGGAGCAGGTCCTATTCTATAGTCCACCATGTTAAACTGTCATGTTTTACAGTAGCCCAGTACTGACAAACCTAACACTGGCTCTAGATAGGCCTTTCACGTTTTGCACGACTTTGTGCCGCCGCCCCCCGACCTATTACATAATCACTATGGAGAGGTTTCTGTTGTTAGCGGCTAAAGCTCCAGGTAGAGTCTCCCAAATTGATCCATGTGCATTGCCAGACTAAGTGCAAGTAAAAGACTACTATAAATCAGCTTTGAAGATGGTTTCCCATCTGGATCCCCTCCTGAAACCAGGCCTATACCTATAGATGAATTAGGGTCTTGTTGTGCTACCGCTCTGCATTTCCCTGTCTAGCTTGGTACTATAATTACTGGCCAAAGCTAACATTCTGCACATCTCATAATAACTTAACTAAAAGGCCAAATCAAACATAATTTAAATCTCAGTGCTTCTAGGAATTCTACCATTGGTGAGTTTTATTTGCTTTTAATAGCTTAGAAATGTACTGTTAAGACAGAGAACACTTGAACATTGTGCGGACATCATTGATATATGGAGATACATGCAATATTAAAGGAGAAACACTGTCTCCCTACCCAAAGCTGACACAATCTTTGATCATTTATCTTTAGGTAGAACACCAGGCAAACCTGCTGGGTTTTATTTTTGGAAATAAAAATGTGTGGGTGTGTTTTTTGTATACACATTCAGAGGTATAGATTCTCAGTGAATGCAGCATGGATGTTAGCATTCAAACTATGGTCACATAAGTAGAGCCAAGAATAATGAGCTGTAAAAGGCGCCTTAAACTACAGTCATGGCTTAAAATGAAACTTGACAAGTTGATTTCCTCTGACTTGTTTGGTTTTTCATGTTTGAGACTTTGTAATTTAGTGCAGATGGCAAATTAAAAGTATAATTATGTCAACAATTAGGCCATGCGTGCATTATTTATCTTAACATAGATCAAGTCTGACAAACTGCAGGATACATTTAACTTTTTAAACAAGCTGAGAGAAAACCTGATTAATGGGAAAGCTGAATAAAACAGGTTTGTTTACATGCACGACTTCGGTGTAAAAATGTTTTCATCCAAACCCAATTTGCACTGTTCATTGTGTGGAGTATATATTGTATACATTTGGCTGTTCAAATAAGTAATGGCATTTCTCAGTTGGAAACTATGATAAGCTTACTATTTATGACTTTATCACTTTTCTTTTTAAAATTGAGTATTTCATATCTATATCCATCCCACTACTTATTATATTGTCTGTCCTTTCTAAGCATCTGACTATGCAGCTTATTTCTTTTATCTTCAGAAATGAGTAAAACTTTATTGACTCTTTTGTGCTCTCTGAAGTGAAGAACTGGTGGCACAGCGCAGAGCATTATTGAAGGTTTTTCAAATTTGTTTTTGCCCATCTTCTTTTATATTTTAAGGTCACATTTGCTCTTTTTTCTCTATCTTGGTTAAATAGTAGATGCTTAATCAGAACTACTTGTGGGATGGTTAAACTGCTTTGGACACATTCTACAAATTGTTTCTTTTCTACCATAACCCAGCCACGAATGTCGGTTGGTTTAGATTGACTAGGTTATGATTGCTTGAAGGTGGGCTCTAATTGACAACACTTCATATAACTTAAACATTGTAATCTACGGAGGAAAAGAATGGATTTGACAAGTAGGGAAGCTGAGCTTTTTTTTTTTAGTGTTGCAGGAGGAGAAAAGTCTCCTCCTGCCTTGTCAAACATTTGTAACTTGATATCATTGTGATGGATGAGGTGTATATGACAGTATATACTGCATACACTGTACAGTGGGAGCAATAATTATTTGATCCCTTGCTGATTTTGTAGGTTTGCCCACTTACAAAGAATGGAACTGTGTATAATTTTAATCATAGGTACATTTTAACATTGAGCGACAGAATATCACAAAAAAATCCAGAATTACAACATCATATACATTTTATAAATTTATTATCATATTTTTGCATGAAATAAGTATTTGATCCCTTACCAACCAGCAATAATTCTGGCTCCCACAGACCAGTTAGTTTTCGCACTCCTAATCTCAACTAATTACCCGAAACACCTGTGTCAACTCGTTACATCATTATGTAGCTGTATAAAAGATACCTGTCCACACAATCAATCATGTTCCAACATTTCCACCATGGGCAAGACAAAGGAGCTGTCTAAGGACATCAGGGACAAAATTGTAGACCTGCACAAGGCTGGGATGGGCTACAAGAAAATAAGCAAGCAGCTTGGTGAGAAGTTAACAACTGTTGGAGCAATTATTAGAAAATGGAAGAAACACAAAGTCACCGCCAATCTCCCTCGGTCTGGGGCTCCACGCAAGATCTGTCCTTGTGGGATATCAATGATCATGAGAAAGATCAGGGATCAGCCCAGTACTACACAGGAGGAGCTTGTTAATGACCTGAAGGTAGTTGGGACCACAGTCACGAAGAGAACCATCAGTAACACACTACAGCGTGAAGGATTAAAATCCTTCTGCGTGCTCAAGGTTCTTCTGCTGAAGAAGGCACATGTACAGGCCCGTCTGAAGTTGCCAAAGAACACCTGGATGATTCGGAGGAGGCTTGGGAGAAGGTGATGTGGTCAGATGAGACCAAAATAGAGCTATTTGGCATCAACTTGACTCGCCATGTTTGGAGGAAGAGAAATGCTGAGTACAACCCCAAGAATACCACCCCCACTGTGAAGCATGGAGGTGGAAACCTTATGCTTTGGGGGTGTTTCTCAGCTAAGGGGACAGGACGACTTCACCGTATCAAGGGGAGGATGAATGGGGCCATGTACCGGGAAATTTTGGGCGACAACCTCCTTCCCTCAGTGAGAGCACTGAAAATGGGTCATTGATGGGTCTTCCAACATGACAATAACCCAAAACATACGGCCAAGGCAACAAAGGAGTGGCTCAAAAAGAAGCATATTAAGGTCCTGGAGTGGCCTAGCCAGTCTCCAGACCTAAATCCCATCAAAAATCTGTAGAGTTGACAAGCGACAGCCTCGGAACCTTAACGATTTGGAGAGGATCTGCAAAGAGGAGTGGACCAAAATCCCTCCCAAGATCTGTGCAAACTACAACAACCGTCGGACCTCTGTGCTTGCCAACAAAGGTTTCTCCACCAAGTATTAAGTCCTATTGTTCTATGGATCAAATACTTATTTCATGAGAAAATATGATAATAAAAATTATACACAGTTCCATTCTTTGTAAGTGGGCAAACCTACAAAATCAGCAAGGGATCAAATAATTATTGCTCCCATTGTATATACTGTCATAGCCACCTACCTCATGTACATAAATAAATCTGTATTTAAATACTTATTTCAGCATCCTTTGCACTCTGCACCATTGCACTATTGTCTATACTGTCTACACGTATTTGTTCTTTGTTTTGTTTATATATATGTGTAACTGTACATAGTAGTTCATGTCTATTTTGTTGAGATAGACAAATTCAGTCAGATTCCTTGTATGTGTCCACATACCTGGCCACTAAAAGTCATTCCGATTCTGGTTCTGATGTATACTTGATGCAATATGGGTGATGAATTACCTCTGTGCTATAATGCCAAAGATGTTTGCAATTAAATGAGGTGGGTTGAGCCTGAAAGGGTTAGTTATAAAGTAATTTAACTTTAAAGAACCACAAGATGTAAATACATATCCTTATTGCACTGGAACTGTCCATTGAATTTTGAGTTTTTGGTAGTGTTCAACAAATACATGTTTATCCTGGTGGCTGCTCGTCTTGATCTATTCATGTCATTAAGAAATTGTGAAAACCAAATCTAGAATAATTAGCATCGAAGTATTTGTAAATATGATTTTTTGCATTTTCTAACTTGCTAACCTTTTCTAACTCGCTAACCTTTTCTAACTCACTAACCTTTTCTAACTCGCTAACCTTTTCATTGTGTTTTGTTGAATATCTTTACAGCAGGGAGAAGGTTCATGAGAAGGGCACAATGCATCAAGTTCACGTTATTCCCCTCCAGACCTAATTCCACCTCCACAAAGTCATTCCAACGAACCAGTCAGAGTCTCTGTGAAATTAACTTTCACCGGCTTCCCACTCCTGCTGCATGCCATTATGCAACAACTGAACTGCCATCAGTTTTGTTTCATAGAACAAACCGTATCACAGCAGTGATTCAAACATGTATGGCTTTCTATTTGATGCCCTAAAGGACAACAAAAAAAGGAAAATCCAGGAAAACTACTTCTCTGCCGAGGTTATTTTAAAGAAGAGTAAAAAAAGGAGGCACGCATGCATATGAGCACAAATTAACCCAAACCACCTATAAATATGCAGTTAATAACAAAATACCAGTACTTACAGCACACATTGGACTTGGTCCCAGTGTTATAGCTTGGCATTCCAAAATACTTGTCGAAAAGATGGGGCCATCCATTATTATCTCCTGGAAAAGAAAATGAGACAGACAAAGAAAGAGATCACAACCCATCATTTGTCCCTCAGAACATTTTTTATAGTTCAGTATAATTTGAAATCGTTCAAATGTTCCATTCTGTCCGCCCACAGGGCACACAGTTCCTCTCCCTCCTCGCTCTTTTGTGATAAAAAGATGCATATGCCTTGCTGTAGGTGAGATCAAGGTCATTTTTTGTTGCTCCATGATGGCTGTAGATATTTAATAATAATAAAAAAGGATTGGCCTGCACAGTGCGACCAGTTGTGGCCAATAGAATCACACATTAATGACTAATGTAGAACGGACCCTACTTATGTAGCATTAAAGATTTGATTTCACTGTCCTTTTAAAATGTGTTCTTCTAGATCAAATGGCATCAGTGTGACATACAGGATTTTTTTGATTTTGTAGGTGGGTCCCACACAACCAAATCTATAATGTTGATTTTAGGACTTTGCATTTGAAATAAGAGCTGGAACTCACTTTCAAATTCATACCAAAATGAACTTTTCACAATCTTTTTGAGGCAAAAAATGACCAAACAGGTGCTAAAAAAATAACATGTATCTGATGAAAGTGGTGACTCTACCACTAGCTTTGCAGTGGCATGAAATGAGAGGCTGACAACAACATCCATCTTTAATTACTTCCTCACAGCTCTCCCTCTTCCCCCAATATATTTTTGTACTCTCATTAACTATACAATATAACTGTTGTTGGTTTATCATCTGATATGTAACCTAGGACATCTCAGTTAAATGTTTGCTATGGGCTGCTTAGCCTGCCGTGACTTGGGAAACATCAGCTCATTGTTTGCTGCCACAACCTCCTGGGAAGACAAAAGTGCCAGGTCAACTGGTACAAACACACAAATGGTAATAATAATAGTGTTGATGACATTTCTGAGTAATAATTTGCTTTTTTTCTCCAACACTGAAAATACCAAGCCAGTGTTCTGTTTATTAAAAGAAGGCACAGTTTCTCCCTATAAAATAAATTGGCTCCCATTGTTCATTTAAAGAATCGGCTCACAGAGCAGACTCATTCACAAATGAGAACTATCATTACAGTCTATATAACTGCTCTGCTTGCTTACTACATGTGTACTAAACCACCAGTCCACATTCTTCTATTTTATGTAAGCAACAAGTTTACATGCACTCTAATTTTCTAGTATGTTTCCGAATATGACAATATTCAACAATGTAAATAGCATATTCTATTTGGATATTCCTAATTAGAACTTATTCCATGTGGAGCAATTTCTGATTAGGACACGTGGGATATGCCAATATTATTTAGGTTTTAGGAGCATTCTTTGGGTGTGCATTCGGATATGCATTTCATTTGGGGACCACAGTTTGTGACACACAGCCTCTTGCCTGTTTATGGTCAGCTCTGGGCGATGTAAACAAACCAACTAGCCAACAGTTTGCATAGGTGGAGTAGAGGTGCATGCACAAAACAAAAGCCCACATTTCTGTTTGGAAGGAGAGACACACCTACTTTTAAACATTATGAAAGACTTTGATACAGGTTTTTGGATATGTGCAAATATCGCAATGGCAATCTTTTCAAGAACGTGGCTGAATGAGTGAAAAGAGGGAGGCTGTGTCTGCAATGTCGAACATGTTTGCCACCGGTGGAAAACATTTGACGAAAAGAGGAAAAATGACTCAAGCTTCTCCAGCCGTTCCACTTTCACTACGGGACCAACATGACTGCAGTTTAAAAAGGAGGTTAAAGGAAGGAAAAGGAGGGAAATTCCTCCAGTAGTATGTACAGTACATAAGTAACAGTTATGTTAAGAGGAGTATGCACAACTACATGTATACGGGAATATTATTATATGATATTAATTTTCATTAAATATGTAGGAATAGTAGGAATAAAAAAACTGTTTAGTTGGAATATTGTCTTCATTTGGAATCAGGGCAAAAAACTGTACCAGATATGGGTGACCTACACGTGTACTGTGTCTGAACACATTCCCTGGCGATACAGAGGGAGCACTGAAGCTGCTGCTGCTATGCTAATGTGCTGCCCACGCTTTGCCACCTTTGTAGACGTGATTTTAGCAAGCACCATATGCTGAGGAAGCAGACTGTGAGATCTGGTTGAAAGCTTTCAAACAGACCTTGAGGTAAGATCATTTCTGTTTCCAAGATGAAGGATGAACTTTCACACTGAACTTTGTTCTGTCTAACAAGCCATTTTCCAAAGATACTCAATAATATAACACAGATGAAAGCACCAAATCCTCACCTCAACTTGAATGATGTTTGGAGGTTCTGACTTAAAAAATTACTTACTTACAATATTTATTCAAATGTTGAGTAATTGACTTAAAGGGGAATTTGGCAACTTTTTCAACTTAATAAACCTGTTTAGAAATCATTTGGATGGTTAAATGGCCTGTTCCGGTGTTAATAGTGACTGTCCCCGCTCCCCCTAGCGTCCCCAGGCGGAAAACCAACCATGCAACTTTGGGACTACCGTCCCGTTAAGTTGGAAATAGGAAGTATCGTGAAAAGCGAGAACGAGCGAGAAACACGAATTGCTTCACGGCAATTCCACATAAACGCAATGTTCTATGATACTGTGTATAATGTATTACCCACCTTGGTAGACATTGCTCCACACGAAAAAGGAGGGTGCCGCAAGTGAGTGAAATATACGTCCCAGAGCTATAGGGGGAGCTTGTTGAGAAAACATGCAACGACAAAAGTGAAAACCAGCGAAGAAATGGCTAGAGTTGCCAAGTTCCCCTTTAAACGATTACTTTCCTTACCTGTCAGACCCTTTATCCAGACTGTACAAGAACTATGCAAGCTTTTTGAGAACAACATCTTGAATACAAAAAACTATTTAGAATTTGAGGTGTGCTGCTGCCAGGACAGTAAAGAAGTGACTCAGATTCCACTTCAATCCCTGTGGGGGCTCTGCTGCAGCGTTTGAGGTGGTCAGACAAAACTCCTGTAAAAACCCTTCATCCTGCTCTGGCAGACTCACTCGCCACACATCTAAGTTCAGATTCCAGAGGAGACTTCTCGCTTTTTCCAACTATCCATCACTGTTCCTTTGAAACCCTTGGGCTTTCCGGTAACTTGAAACTTCAGCCAGAAATTAATCCTTAAATCACTGCTGTTTCTCAGATAACTGTTATTTTATCCTTAGCCTCTGCTATTCTATCATATGTATTATTATCATACATATATGGTGGAAATAATGTGTATAATGTGTGAGCATTTTTTTTGTGGATAAAAATCAATAACTTAAACACACATAATCACACCATCACACCACTAATTGGATGAATAATTCTGCATTGGAGATGCGTATGTATGTGTATTAATTATTTAATCATTAAAGTTTCATATCCTACAGTCAATAAATTTGTCAGATATATAATACATTGAGATTCAGTGCTCATGTGGACATACAAAGAAATAACCCCAACATTCACGTGAAATAAGGCTCAGTGAGGGAACATTGATTTTAAGGCACATACCTTACAGACCAAGTTCCTTCCCACTAATAGTCAATCTCACACACAATCTGCATGCTAAATGTGCCCACACAGTGAAGTTCATATGGTCCACATTCAATACTATCTACTTACAATAAATTGCATAGGGTGTAGTTGGAATGTGATCATGCAAACTCAAGGTGACCATGGAGTGGAATGTGTTCTCTGCACCAATCAAGGACTGGGCCTTTAAAATCAATATCGTTTGACTGACAATGCCTTTTGTCTTCATTGACATTCAAGATGTTTGTGCAACAGTGCTTGAGGTTTCTGTTTTTGAAAACCAGGTTAATGTGTAGAGTGAAGTTTGGTGTGAGTTTAGCAATAATGTAATATCTCTTGACTACACAAACATCCCTGAAAATACATTACTTGATGCTGTTTTTTTAGAAGATTTTTGAACAAGAAAATGGCACAACATGAAGCATAGATACAGAAGGGCAGGAACATGCAGAGGGAAGGCAAGAAAATTGGGACAGAAGTCACTGACATGACATGAATGACCTGAATTCTACGCTGCAGCCACCCAAGAGTCCAACTCAGCCTGTCATCATGAGAGGGATCCATTAGCTCTATGCTAAACAGGCCAGTCTTAGGTTGGTACGTGTAACACATCACATTACAATCATGCTACAGTTCTGTGTCTGATGTGTCGAACACATATATTGTTATATGTTGTTGTCTACAGAACATTCAATTAATCTTTTTAACCTGAGTAAATTGTAGTAAAATGGTGACCAATAGTATGTTTAGAGTTCCCCTCCATACATGTTTTAAGACATATATATAAATAGTATCGGAACAATAATGTGTCTGATATGTTTTTTTCTGCCATAAAAGAAGAACAATTTCCACGTTTAAATCCTTAAAAACTGATCTAGTCCATCTATGAATAATCTATGAATATGCAAATTGTTTTAAAGTTTTCCTGCTGCACACACAAGAGATATCTTACTTCACTGCCCATTCTCAGTGTATGTGCTCTGGTGGCATTCATGTTTCTACATCGCATATGTATAAGTTGCATACTGGACCTGGATTGACTGAAATATTTGTGATGTCACAAATCATGCCTGTAAGCCCCGCCCCTTAGAAATCAGATTCAAAGTGAGCATAGAGAAACTTTCCACTTTCAGCAAATGAACGTGAAACATCCTGTTAGTGTCAAACTCTGCACAGTGAAGCTCAAAAGAAGAAAAACTGATTTTTGAGTGCAGTGACATGTATTCATCATATGAATTCGTATTTACATAGCAGAGGTGTTGCATGGCTCTATCCAAGCCAATTTTGCACTGAAGTAGAATTACCTGGGGACCTTGGGAGATTTTAGGATTCATCACCCAATTCTGTGCCATGTGCTGCATTTGTAAGAAATAAACAAAGTCTGTTTCAGTGAAATTTAATGACGTACTAATTGGAACTTGGTCCTTTTCCAAATGGATCTCCATGCTGAGTCGCT